ATTTAGAGACAGATCTAAGGTCATTCGGAGACAAAATTCAGCTAAATACCAAAAGTGTAAATACATTTATAGATAAAGTTTATATTTAATTTTTTTGATTTTTGGTATCATTTTGTATGTGTGTGTAACTGTTTTGATTATGGGGTTCAATTTCCTGTTTTAGGTAATCAAGTAAATCGACTCTTAACAGAGCTCTAGCATGATCTTAAATTTGCTGCTAACTCAAAAGAAAGAACGTTACGTGTGTACATGTACATCATTTTCACAAATTATTTTTTTTAACATTGGTTTCAGGTACATCTATAACATTCATATTTGACAGCAAAGTAAATCTTGTCAGGTGGATAACACAATATAACTATACTATAGCTTTATCTTTTATTTACATGACCAAGATTTAAATACACATACATTTAAAATATATGGGTCACTGAACTTTTTTTCAAGACAGTTATTTGGGGAAGAATACTAAAACTTTATTAATTTTTTGTGGAAATTACGTGTATAATTTACATCTATTGCTTTCATGACTTTTAATTTTTGTTTGCGATTTTACAAAAAAGTGTAAAAAATTGGTTGATTTGTAGTAACAATTAATGTTATAGCTTGGATTTTTAGGGCAGCGGTGCACAGTTTTAAGATTAAAAGCACATTATTATGTTTTCTTGTCTGATAAAGGACACTTCATCAGGGGCAGATCCAGGATTTTTTAAAGGGGGAGCGTTATTTCATAAAACTGATTGATATATAAATCTTTGTACGATTTCATGCTCAAATAAACTATAAATCGTGAAAAACATGATGTAATAATTTTTTGGGATGATCAAAAGGGCATACACGCTCTACACCCCTTCTCCCTGGATCCGCCACTGCTTGATCATGATAAAAGATAAGCAATTTTGAAATATTTTTAAAAATATGGGTACACGTATTGTGCTTGATTTATAGTATTTGGTGACTGTAAAAAGCTTTTTCCAGAATTTATGTCTATCGAATTTTTTTTTCATTGAAAAGCATTTATTTTCATTTTGAAAACAAAATGCAAAGGGTAGGCCAGGACTATAAGAACAGAGGGGATATGGGGCTCTCTATTATTTTGGTCTAGCTAGGACACTTTGTAATAACCCCAGTTTTCTCCCCCTGAAATGAAACGTTTGTTCTTAAGTAATCTTCCCTGGTTAAATCTTAAATACATAAATTCATGAACAAGTGTGAGTTATTGTACAGCATGCTTCTTGAATGCATCATTTGGAATAACATGTACATTTTACAGAAAATGATAATGTGTGGCCCAAATTTGTCAAAATAAGCTAAAAAGTAAAATATCGCTGATGTATTTTTCACTTGCAAGTCAATAATTTAACCTCAATTGAATTAGATTCATGTGACCTTCAATTTAACCCCTTAGCTGGAGATGGGTTATGCATGTACAAAATGTACTATGCATATGTTCAGCTATTAAAAGGACAAGAATATTAATGTCAACATTGAAAGTGAAACAAGGGTGAACCATTTCATTGACTGATTCTATCCACAAAAAATCATTCTTATACAGGTAAAAACGATGATTAACATATTTTTAAAATCTATAACATGAAATCAAACAGCGCTAGAAATATCCAATTGCACGTGCTTGATATCTATTTATATTTATACTTATGTTTATATCGGGTTATATGAATGTTGGCAGTCTTCGGGAGGTCATCTCGATGGTTAATTAGATGGCATGTAGACTAAAATACACATGAAATATTTTTTAATGCTGATACATATTATCGAGTCCATGCATTGTTGATTGTTTATTTTAAACTTTTTGTAATTTGGATATACATTTTAGTACGTTATAAATCAAATATGAGAATTTGAGTCAAATCGGTGAACATGAATTTGACAGCCAATGCCCCAATAAGAATCCTTTTTCAATACCAACTACTTATCATATACATACTCAGTTTAAATAACTTGTAGTTTTTACAGTATGATAATAGCATTAAATTTACATGAATTCCATATTTTCCAAAATTGTGCTTAGCAGGCTAATATGAATAATTTGTTAACTGCTTCCGGTTATTATCGCATGCTTTTCCGTAACATTATCGCATTGCATTTCAAGGTCACTCAGCAAATTCTGGAAAATTCTCCTCCATGATACATTTTCAGTGAAAAACATAACAAAGTAGGATAAAAAAAAAAAATATTAGGAAACAGGAAAATATATTTTGAAAAATGCAAAACAGAAATAATACAATAAAAATGCATTTTTTTCAAATAGTTCCTGTCTATATTTCCTCTGCTGAAGTATATGACAAAAAGATCATTACATGTCATTTCTCATATCCGACCCTTCATCAGCCCTCGTTCATGATATCATCTCTCGAGCCTTTCAGCTCTTGGGCTGATATCAAGACCTAGAGCTGCAGATAAAGGGTCTGATATGAAAAATGCCATGTAATAATCTATACTTATCATGCTTATACAAGCAACATATTCTTGAGGGCAGCACCATATTTTAATGTCAAGTTGGATGCTGTTTTTAACAGTATATAACTGCTTTAACATGTTAAAACAAATCTTAAACATTGTAACATGTATCATAACTATAATAACATGATTAAGCACATTTGTCATAAAAAACAACATTTTGAAGTATATATTTATATATTTAGACAGAGGTAAAAACTCAGACATTTATTTTTTTTTGCAAAGTATTCTTTCTTTTTTTATATGTCATGTTTGTAAAAAAAATGCAACTGAAGCAGATATTAAACATGTTAACGGTTGACATCCATTTAACATTTACCAATGTACTGTGTATGAGACAGGGGGCTGTGAAAGTGGAATTGTTCATGATCATAATGATTAATTTATGATCATACATGTAAAATATAAACATGATCATAATGATTAATTTACGTACATGTAAAATATAAACATGATCATGATGATAATTTTATATAAATTAAAAGAAAATAATAAAATGACAAGAATAACAAAATTTATAAATTTTTAGTCCTTTAAAAAATAAATTAACAGCCTAACTTGTCAATACAGACATAACAATTGATGATTGACAATAGTTATATGTATTATGGCATTTTCCCCTATACTGAATACTGTAAATTCAGAAATTATTGCGAGGTTTTTATTAATGCGAATAGTGCGACTGGGATGGTATCGCAATAATTAAAAGTCGCATTCTGATATCTGATATATGCATCTGTATGCAGATTTTCCTAAAATCGCAATAATTAATCTCGTATTATTGTCCATTCTTCATAAATCGCAATAATAAATGCACGCAATAATTTCTGAATTTACAGTAGCTGAATCAGCAATTGTATAAAAAATATTTTGTTTACTTCCTTTATTCTGCAGTGTGCACGTGTTAAGTGTATTAAGTGTGCTAAGTGTATTTAAATGATCAGTTTAGTAGGAAATGCCACAAATATAAGATGGGGTAATGGTTGGATGACTGTTTAACTTCCAGCAGATAATCTTATAACCTTATTCAGGACGAAAAAAACATGTTGATTTGATATGAACATAAGTCCTCCCATTTCAGCAAACTGAAACTCTCAGAAAGTACTTCATTTATCTCAAGGTTAAAGCTTTCAAGAATACCTTATGTCCAAAAACAATTCTTCACAAGGTTATAGTCTTCAAGAAGGTTTTGTATCCAAAAAACAGGGAGGAAAACTGCTGATTCAGCTGATTCGTATTCGGGAAAATGTAAAAATATATTTATGCATTCATTACTAATTTTCATGATATGATCATGCTTATATAAGCAGAGCAGGAAAGTTTTTATAATTACTAACAATTACTAGATGGTTGTGTCATGATCAAGGTCAAAATCTCTAGCATGAAGAATAATTTAACATTTTTGACATCCTATATGCCCTAGGTTTAAATTTTATCATGGTTCAGAATTTAGGACGAGGGGGATCAGCCAAGTTAACAAACTTAGTTAAAAACATTATTGTGTCTAGTTTATGTCCTGAGTTCCTTAGGTTCGTGGGCTTGGTCAGTTCATTGATGCATATGATACATTTTTTGTTCTTTGCATGATTATCTGATTATGAACAGAAATTTGGTCAAGAATCAATTTGGAATCTCAAGCTTGAGTGTGAAGGTCACAAACCCAGTATCTGTATGATGTTACAGACCCTATGTGCATTATGTACATGTTCACAAATCTACAATCATAAATTGTGTCAAACCTGTATCTAAAGTACAGCTTTGAGATCAATGACGATACTTTGTAAGATTGTTCATCTCTTAAAAGATGTGTTATTTGTAAGTCAAATCTGTAAGAAGCTTGAAAGTCACAAACTTATAATAATTTGCAGTAAATACTTGGTCCATGCTTATGTTCATTTCCCACCTACATGACCTACTGCTTTGAGGCTTAATATGATAATTCCATGGATTGTTCATTGCTACAAGAAGGTTTGTCATGAAACGTAGAACATTTTGAATCTCGAGCTAAAACATGTTGAAAGTGATGGATCCTATCTGACGAATGATTTGAAATCCTTGGGTTCTTGTTAACCTATCACATCTGGTTGTTCACCACTACTTGGATTGGTTTAACAACTCATAACAAGGTTAGAATCTAACCTAAAGGTGGAGGTTATAAGCCTGATTTAACCTTGTAGACCCTGGGTTGTTTACAAATGTCAAAGGCAGGTGAAATATCAAAATTGCTGAATTTTCTTGTTGGGAATGTTGGGTGCATGCATTTCTTTAGATGTCAAGCTAAGAAGTATTTAAAAGTTTATTATCAAAACTTAAAGATAGTCTCTATGTTATAAGTGCTAAGTTCTTATTATTACCTTACAGACACACTTGTATGCTCTTTGTAAACCCTTTCTGAAAGATTATTAATGACAGTTGTTTCCTTGGGTCTGTTATTACATCAGTCCTGTTAGGCAAATATATATATATATATTTTCACCACATATATATGTAGACCTAAATGTATCTGGTTTTTTTTTCAGTTGGGGGTATTTACACTGTGATTAAATCAAAGGCACCAGTCACTGTTGAGGAGTTAGGGGAACAGTACTGTTTGTTAGGACCCTACAATGAGTCATGTGTCAGAACAGAAGTAGAATTACTAGAACCTCACCATTATGTATATAGACAGACAATACAACAGATGAGAGATTGCGGAATCAAGGTTAGAAAATACAGAAGAAAAATTATAATTCATTTTTATCAGACACAAAAAATAAATCAGGCTGTACTTGATTAAGATTTAGACTAATATATTTTATTGTAAGGTTATTTTATTGAGTCATGGCCTTTAATATAGGGGGAATAAACTAAGGGGGCAATGGAAAAGATTTAAATTTGTCATGTTTTCACTTTTTAAGAATTTTTTTTGATAATACTGTATTACTAAAACATTATATATATCTGGATTTAAACATTTTACATGGTGTTTTCTCTTGTGTGGTGGTACTTATTAAATAACTGAGGCAGAAAACTCAAACATGTCAAATAATCACATCTCCATCAACTATGTCATTCCATTCCTGTACCAAAAAGTCAAGTTAATGAAACAGCGACCAAATTTTCAATTTGTGTTTTTTTATTTTGCTCTGAACTTACTCTGTCCATCATATATGTCATATGGTGAATGTGAACTTGACAAGATAAGGAAATGAATTTTTCCTTTTTGGTGTGATTGTACTACATGAACTAAGTCAGGAATATGGCATTCACTTCATGCACTTGTTTGCATGTTCAGATGTTTTGACACACCAAATTAAAATTATCACTGTTATACTTGCATGGAATTATAAAAGTTTTGAAAATTTTATTTTCACTTTATAAACACCAAAAGTTTGAGAATTAGTACACCATTTATATATATTGTACCTGAATCATATGAAGCTGAAAACAGAAACAGCTATAATACAATAATATAATGTATTGTAATGCAATTCTCATATTAATACATTTCACTTGTCTTTTGATATAGGTATATTTTGGACGTTGGTTGATTGATGGCTACCCAAAAGTAATTTTATTTGATATTGGATCAGCAGCTTGGAAACTTGATGAGTTTAAACATGAATTATGGGAGAAAGCTAATATTGGTATACCATGGCATGATAGAGAATCAAACGATGCAGTTATATTTGGTGCTTTGGTAGCATGGTTTTTAGGAGAGGTATGGATGTGATATATATATATTCCTCAATTATTGCTTTTGGATAATGAAACATATCCACATCATTAAATTGTGATTTCATGATTTTTTTTTGTATTTCTATATTTATTCTTTGTTGGATAAAAACGCTATTCATAAATGATTAAAATTTTCTATTGACCAGGTTAGATGATAAGATAAAATACATAAAGATAACCGCACTATAAGGGTTTGACAAACACGAAAATGTAAACATTTTCTTGAAAAACATTATTAATTACATTGATTAGGAAATTTCCCATACATTGTAGGGAGAGTGCTTTACCAAAAGACTATCAAGCAATACTATACTAATAGACTGCAGCTGCTCTTTGAAGTCAATGCAGCCATACTTTAAGAACCTAGCTCTTCCTTGGGAGTATTAAAGAATATAAACAAGAATTGTGGACAGTTTTTTTTCTTGATAACATTCTTTGTCTGCTTTAAATTTTATAATGACTTGTTTTTTTTAGTTTAGGAAGAATTTATCAGATGAAGGAAAACCACTGATGATCACCCATTTCCATGAATGGTTGGCTGGGGTTGGTCTGATATATCTGAGAACCAGAAAAGTAGATTGTACAACAATATTCACAACCCATGCAACCTTACTAGGCCGATACTTGTGTGCATCATCAGCAGATTTCTACAACAATTTAGATACAGTAAGAGTTTTTTTAACCTGCATGCTAGGTAAACCATTTAAGGTTTTGTTTTAAAAAAAATTATTCATCAAATAAAAACATTAGAAAATAGCATTGACTTAAAATGGTGTTTGATAAATTTCATCAATATATGATCTTTAATCATGAAAGGGATGTGGCATGATGAATATTGAAATTGCTTCTTCAGATTTTTTCTAGTGTACCTTCCAAGTTACCATGTCTTATATTATTGAACTCTTAAGATTTAATCATATATCATAAAGAATAAATTATGTTTATGGTTGTCAATTACGGGCTCCTGCATCTCTTTTTACAAAAAATCTTGCAACTATAATTAAAAAAAAATTTAAAAGTTTTTGTGAAATAAGTCGCTGATCCACAACATGACACAACAATTTATTAATGAATAACACAGTTACATAAAGCAACTGTTAACTGTTTATGTATACCTATTACATACTGTGGATGCATTATTGTTTTTGTGGGATATCAGTTTTTCATGAATTCCATGAGTACAGGTAAACCACGAATTTAAATGTTCTACAAATTATCTATAGGCTTTTATGCAGTCTTTGACAAAACCATGAGATCAAATATCCAGGCAATTGCAAGTTTTCCTCAATCCACAAAAATAAATGAATCCACTGTATTAATCTCATACGTATATATAAATTACATATTTTGTATACAAGATAGGACCAGACCCAGAAAAGGTTTTACACTAACCATGATAGCTGTATACTAAATATACTTTTCATCTAAATTTTAGACATTTATTAATATGATTTCCTATTATGTTAGTGTAGACAGATTTCCATCATATTCATTTTGCATCATTGATCTGTTTAGAAAACATGTATTGCTGAAAAAAGAGATGTGAACATTTGTTTTTTTTATGAGTTTGTTGTTTTAATCTGGTTCTTCTTTCTATTTTCAATGTCTCATTGAGTTCATCAGTCATCTCTTTGTTTTATTCTGGACACACCCTGCATTTTTTATCATATTTTTTCTTTAAAGTTAAGAGATGGTTTGCTCTTATCAATACCTTGGATAAGTTTGGTTATAAATGAAATGGAATATATTCAACCCATGAAAAGTACATGCACTTTTAATTATTTACAGACTTTGAGTGTACACTGATCCAGAAGAATTACATAATAAATTGAAATTTTAGATATTTAAAACATAGTGAAAGCTCCGTCTTAAATATTAACAAATGTTTACAATTATATTACTTCTATTTACAAGAAGTTAACATCTAGATTATTTTCCAATATGTTTTTTGTCGAGCCTGTGAAAAAGTCGCAAAAGCGAGACATAGCAATCCTACATTCTGTCGTCGTTGGCTGCGTCCACAAATATTCACTCTGTGGTTAAAGTTTTTGAAATTTTAATAACTTTCTTAAACTATCCTGGATTTGTACCAAACTTAGACAGAAGCTTGTTTATGATCATAAGATAGTATCCAGAAGTAAATTTTGTAAAAAAAAATCCTGTTTATCCGTGTTTTACTTATAAATGGACTTAGTTTTTCTGCCAGTTAACATTACATTCACTCTGTGGTTAAAAGTTTTTAAAATTTTTGATAACTTTCTTAAACTATCCTGGATTTGTACCAAACTTGGACAGAAGCTTGTTTATGATCACAAGCTAGTATCTAGAATGAAATTTTGTAAAAATTTATTTCCTGTTTTTCCGTATATTACTTATAAATGGACTTAGTTTTTCTTCCAGTTAACATTACATACAGTCTGCAGTTAAAAGTTTTTAAAACTTTTATTAGATTCATAAACCATCCTGAATTTTTATGAAACTTGGATAGAAGCTTCTTACAATCTAAAGATAGTATCTAGAGGAAAATTTTTAATAATTTTTTCCCCATTTTTGTTGAGCCTGCAACTAACAGCAAAAGTAGGCGAGACACTGGGTTCCACGAAAAATTTAATTAATATGCCTGAATTAGCCATTGTGTTAAATAGATACCTGATTATCCTAGACTTTCAACTGAGTATAAAGATCTGTTTGTGTTGTTTTTTTCAGTTCAGCCTCGATAAGGAAGCGGGTGACAGGCAAATTTACCACAGATACTGTATAGAAAGAAGTGCTGTTCATTGTGCACATGTGTTTACAACTGTGTCTGATATCACTGGTGTAGAGGCTGAACATTTACTGAAACGTAAACCAGGTAAAATTGTGTGAACTCGTCCATGCAATTCAATTGAGGTACAATGCAATACACTGTTTGTAGACCTTTAGATGTCTTCTTTGGTATTATTAGGTGTTAGGTTGCTGTCTTATAGAAGTATAGCTCAAATCTCCTTTACTTTACATTTCATTTCAGTGTAAGATAACACTGTTTGTAGACTTTTAGATGTCTTCCTTGGTGTTATTAGATGTTTGTTTGCTGTCTTATTGAAGTTTAGCTCAAATCTCCTTTACTTTATATTTCATTTCAATGTAAGATAACACATGATAATTTTGTTTTTTTAGGATTTTTGAATTGCATTATTATGAATTTCCTCAGAATTTTTCCACACATAGTATTTTATATTTTTTAGGATTTTTGGATTGCATTAATATGAATTTCTTCAGAATTTTTCCACACATAGTTATTTTATATTTTTTAGGTTTTTGAACTGCATTAATATGAATTTCTTCAGAATTTTTCTGTAATGTAGATTTTTCTCAAAATTGATGGTTTTTATTTCTGATATTGATACATAAATATATGTATATATATATATATGTAACATGTATAACATGAAGCCTTCAGTTATTGTTATTTTGATGTGAGTAATAGAATGTACCTTTTTCACAAATTTTTTTGCAGATGTTATTTTACCAAATGGATTAAATGTAATCAAGTTTAGTGCTATACACGAATTCCAGAATTTACATGCCGTCGCTAAAGAAAAGATCCACGATTTTGTTAGAGGCCATTTTCATGGGTAAAATAGAAATATTTGTTTAAAAGATTATATTTTACAACAAATCATTGTTATTCATACAAATGGAAATCATTGAGCACAACATAAAATATAAAAGAATTGTTGAGTCCTTTGAATATCTGTTCTGCTTAACTAGACAAACAGACCAATGTTTGGCTATAGTCATCACTTGCCATCTGTTAATCAATGTTTATCCCATGTTTGTCCAGAAACAGTTCATGGTTAGAACATGACTTAGCAGGATACACTTTGTTCCAGTCTTGCATCCAGTTTCATCTAGCATTACGATGTGCTAGATAGTTTGGAAGTTTTACTCTCTTTCAATTGCAATCGTCTTTAACATGCATGGCATATTTGCCACTGGAAGTAAAACAAACAACAATTAATCAATTGTCATTTTAAAGGATGCTACTCAAAGGTCAATTTCACACATTATGTTAAAGTTTATAGGCACTGTAGAACTCTAGTCTTGCATTCTATCGTTATTAAACATTGATTCAATGTATATACTTGTCATGTGATCAGGTGGAACCCTAATTCAAAGGCTTATGAAATCTGATGATATTATGGAAAGTTGGACATTCAGGTCATATGTCATATCAGCAATCGAAAATTATACAATAGCAACTGTTAATAAACCTTATAATTATACTTCACGTTAAAATGCCATATTTTGATTGGCTAATACGAGGGTGTTAATTTACTCTATCACACAGCTGAGCGGGTGACAATTTTTTTGAATGTCACCATCTCTTCCAGACCAATCAAAAATCGATAATTTAAAGGACAATGAATTGAATTTACATCAAGTAATTAAATACAATGCTTAAGTTCTACGTTTTGGCTCAGATTTTATTATTTGACTGTCAAAATAAAAAAATAAAACATCTTGCCTCACTTTTGTTGTTTTTTCTAATACCCGTAACGTTGTTATGTACGTGACGTCATAGAAAATACTTTTACAATAAAATTAATCTGTAAAAGACAATAATGATAGGACATTCAGTATAATAAATTAAATAACACATAGCTGAGAGGGTGATAGAGCAGATTGGTACCCCTCGAAAAAGCATTGTCAACCTTGGCTTCGCCGCGGTTGACAATGTTTTCTTGGGGTAACAATCTGCTCTATCACCCTCTCAGCTATGTGTTATTTATATAATAGAATATTCTAAAAGTAAATGTCGATATACTGGTATACTGAATAATTTTTGAGAAAAAAATATCTCTCCATGCATCTTCGTATATTTTGGATTAACCATCATATTATAATTTCTTTTGTTTTATATTGATGATGGTTGTTGTTTATTTCAGGCATTATGATTTTGATTTAGATAAGACGTTATACCTGTTTAGTGCAGGTAGATATGAGTTTACCAATAAAGGTGCTGACATGTTTATAGAAGGTCTTGCCAGACTTAATTACTTTCTTCAGGTAAGACATTAAATTATGAGGAATATTTCAGCAGTTTACCTTTTAAGGTATAAGATAAATTTTGTTAATGTTTACAGTTACCAGAAAATACTTGATTAATTGTACATAATTTAACAATATATAATTTGAATACATAGACATTCTACCAATATACAATTGAACTTTTGCAAAGTCTTGTTATAAATTTTGTTCTTTAATCCTGGCCTTGTCATTTCATGACCTGTTAAAAGTATGGATTTCTAAATCAAGCGTCGATAAGATAGTCTTAGATCAAACACGCAAGCATCGTTGAGGAGATTAACTTAAATCAAGATAACACATATGTACTTTTTTTTTCAGCAAGCGAACAGTGAAACAACAGTGATAGCATTTTTAATATTCCCTACACGGACAAACAATTTCAATGTAGAATCTTTACGAGGACAAGCAATAGCTAAATCCCTAAAAGAGACTGTACATCAGGTGCAAGGACAGGTTGGAAAAAGATTATTTGAGATCTGTTTAAGGTAAATGTTAGCTAGATGTATACATTTGAATAAAAACTATTTAAAATATTAGAATTAAATAAAAAGATATGTAGTGATACAGCAAATGAACAACACAAGTTGAACATAAAAAGAAGATTTGGTAGGATTGCCAATGAGACAACTATCCATCATAATGATGTAGATGTAAGCAATTAAAGATCACTATAACAATAGGCCTACCACAATGAGCAAAACCCATACCGGATATAGTAAGCTATAAAAGGCCCTGACATAACCAAATGTAAAGCTATCTAAACGTGACAACCAGTGCCCTAATTTATGTATAAAACAAACGAAATACAAATGTAATAGACAGCAATTGAGGACAACCTTGAATTACAGGCTCCTGACTTGGGAGAGGCTCATACAGAATGTAGCGGTGTTAAGCATGTTTGCGAGCACTCAAGTCTTCCTTTAACCTTGGAAGTCTTGTAACAGCATATCATAAGTACAACACAGTAACTGCTTGACCTATAGTTGGCCATTCAATAATGTTGGGTGCTTGTCTTATTTTATTGAATCAATATTCTTTTTTTATAAGATACTGTAAATTCAGAAATTACTGCGAGGTTTTTATTGTCGAGCCTGCGACTTTTGTCGCAGAAAGCTCGACAGAGGGATAGTGATCCGGCAGCGGCGTTAGCTAACTTCTTAAAAGCTTTATATTTTAGAAGGTGGAAGACCTGGATGCTTCATACTTTGTATATAGATGCCTTATGTTACGAAGTTCCCGTCTGTCATATGTCCATTATCCTTGACCTCACTTTCATGGTTCAGTGACTACTTGAAAAAAAAAGTCAACATTTTTTGTAATGTTAATTTCGTTCTTATTATGAGTAATAGGATAACTATATTTAGTATGTGCGTACCTTGCAAGGTCCTCATGCCTGTCAGACAATTTTCATTTGACCTCGACCTCATTTCAAGGTTAAGTTTTCGTGGTCAAGTCCATATATCAGATACTATAAGCAGTAGGTCTTCTATATTTGGTATATGGAATGATTGTAAGGTGTACATGTCCAACTGGTAGGTCATCTAACCTTGACCTCATTTTCATGGTTCAGTGGTCAAAGTTAAGTTTTTGAGTTTTGGTCTTTTTTTCTAATACTATATGCAATAGGTCAACTATAAATGGTGTATGGAAATATTTTATGATGTACATGTCAGTCTCACAGGTTTTATTTGACCTTGACCTCATTTTCACGGTTCATTTTTCAGTGTTAAGTTTTTGTGTTTTGGTCTGTTTTTCTTCAACTATAAGCAATAGATCAACTATATTTGATGTATGGAAGGATTGTAAGGTGTATATGTCTGTCTGGCAGGTATCATCTGAACTTGACCTCATTTTCATGGTTCATTGGTCAATGTTAAGTTTTCATGGTTAAGTTTGTTTCTTAGAAACAATAAGCAATAGGTCAACTATGTTTGGTTTATTGAATGATTGTAAGGTGTACATGTATTTCTCGTTTGGTTTATCTGACCTTCGCCTCATTTTCTTGGATCATGTTAAGTTTATGTGTTACTTGTAGTAAAGCTTTTGTATTTAGGACTATCAACATAAAATCAATGGTTAGTAAAGAAGGCGAGATATTTCAGCGTGTGCACTCTTGTTAATGCAAATAATGTGACTGGGTGAGTATCGCAATAAGAAGAACTCGCATTCTGATATCTTATACTTATATCTGTATGCAGATTTTCCTGAAATTGCAATAATTAATCTCGCATTTTTGTCCATTCTTCAAAAATCCCAATAATTAATGCATGCAATAATTTTTTGAATTTACAGTATTTCAAAATTAATACCTCAAAATATATGTTAAGTAATTATCTGTGAAATGTTAACAGAAGGTTATCAGATATCAGAATATTAAAGGTCAAACAAGAAATGAAATGACTCATTGTATGTTGAAATATTTTCTTTTTGTTGTTTCTTATTTTTTGTAGTAGCTTAATCAACTGTCTTTCATATATTTTGTTTAGGGGAACAATCCCAAAAGGAGAAGATATATTGTTACAAGAAGATTTAGTAAAGCTAAAACGATGTATATATGGATCTCAGGTAATGTAACAACAAAATATGAGATACAGGACTCAGTATTACTTTGTGAATTCATCTGCTAATCTTCTCTTTTACAGGGTCATATTTATTGGGAAAACACAAATTGTTGGTTTTCAAAAAAAAAAAATCATTTTCTACCTCAAAGTGAGTGCAATTGTAATATTAAAAAATATTGCACTCTTTTTTTGCAAGGAAATTTTTCAACTTTATATCAAACCAGTACTAATGTGAGAACAGCTATTCTGATTAATGATACAATATTGTGTTAACTATGTAGGTTGACCTGGCAGAGATCAAATTAACATGTGTCAGATGACTGAATGATAATTGGTAAAGGGGAAAATATAACAAATTTTCGTGAAAATCATACACCAGTATTATTGTTGTGACACTTTATTGACTTGAAATAAATATGTCACCAGACATGGTTTTACTGTTTAAATCGTTAAGGAATGTGCACTTAAATATATAGTCATTCTTGTTTCTTTTCAGACATCCGGTTTACCTCCTATATGTACCCACAATGTAGCCGATGATTGGAATGATCAAATACTAACTGCATTACGGAGATGTAAATTATTTAATCAGAAATATGACAGAGTTAAAGTAATCTTCCATCCAGAGTTTCTCAATTCCACCAATCCTTTGTTTGGATTAGATTATGAGGAATTTGTACGAGGATGTCATTTAGGTGTTTTTCCATCTTATTATGAACCTTGGGGATACACGCCTGGTAAGAATACTCTCAAATGTTAGATGAAGGAACATTTTTAATAGTTTTAGAATTTTTTTTTATAATTGTTTTAGACAAATTTCTTAATCAGTTTTATAGCTGTCCTTGGAATTTTGACGCAATGTCAGAATTTGATTTCACAGTTATGGCCATTATTTCCTAAAATACAGGTACCAGTAAATAAGAATTAAGCATAAGTACCAATTCTGACTATATATTGAAATATCAAATTAGCTATATATGTGATGTCTTTCTTTATATGGTAAATTTCATTTGGAGATGTTTATTTAAATATGATATAACAGTTATTGTAGATTTATGGGTTTTGATTATTGTTATACACATAAAGATGCTATGTTTCTGTTCTTACTTTCAGCTGAGTGTACTGTTATGGGTATTTTTATACACACAAAGATGCTATGTTTCTGTTCTTACTTTCAGCTGAGTGTACTGTTATGGGTATACCAAGCATGACCACCAATCTCTCAGGATTTGGATGTTTTATGCAAGATCATATACAGGATCCTAAATCATATGGTATCTATATCATAGACAGAAGATTTAAAAGTTATGATGATTCAGTACAGCTGTTAGCTCAGGTATATTATATTGATTTGTTTGTCTCAAATTCAAAACAAATCTAACTTCTCATTTTATTTGGCCTTTAAACTTTTTTGATTTGAGTGTCACTGATGAGTCTTATGTAAACAAAACTTGTGTCTGGTGGACAAAATTATAAGCCTGGTATTTTTAATGAGTTTCCTTATAACCTGGGATGAATGATCAAGCTTTTGATATAAAATAAGGAGATGTGGTATGATTGCCTATGAGTCAACTTTCTATCAGAGACCAAATGACAAGGCGGCAAGCAACTATAGGTTACTGTACAGTGGATGCCCTTCAATGTTTAGCGGAATGATAGTAATGATTTGTAACATGTTAGCACTTTTCAGATATATCAGACATCTACTTTTACAAATGATTAAAATACAACTACAAATAAAATAAATGATAAAAATACAGTTACAAATAAAACTGTATCAAAGAACACCCACAATTATTGAAAGTAAGCTCCATGTACTAAACCTGCTGATATAGAAATCATGACTTTGCATGCTCTTAGGATTGGTCTCCATATGTCCAAATAGATTTCATGCAGCAGCCTCATGAACATAGTAAAAAAAACAGGATCTGTTGTACAACATGTACAATCTATAAAAAAATAATTTTTATGCCCCCTCTGTAGCGGAGGGTGCATTAAGTTTTACCCTTGTCCGTCTGTACATCCGTACATCCGTACGTCCCAAAATTGGTTTCCGTTCTCTAACTTTAGTTTGCCTCAACCAAATGTTATGAAACTTATACAAAATGCTTATTACCACAAAACACAGATCAAGTTTGAATTTTAGTGGCGTCACTTTTACCATTCTAGAGTTATGCCCCTTTACAAATGGAAAAATTGCTGAATTTTTCGTTTCCGTTCTCTAACTTTAGTTTGCCTCAACCAAATGTTATGAAACTTATACACAATGCTTATTACCTGAAAATACAGATCAAATTTGAATTTTGGTGGCATCACTTTTACCGTTCTAGAGTTATGCCCTATTAGAAATGGAAAAATTGCTGAATTTTTCGTTTCCGTTCTCTAACTTTAGTTCGCCTCAACCAAATGTTATGAAACTTATACACAATGCTTATTACCACAAAACACAGATTGAGTTTGAATTTTGATGGCGTCACTTTTATCGTTCTAGAGTTATGCTCCTTTACAAATGGAAAAATTGCTGAATTTTTCGTTTCCATTCTCTAACTTTAGTTTGCCTCAACCAAATGTTATGAAACTTATACACAATGCTTATTATCTGAAAAAACAGATCAAGTTTGAATTTTGGTGGTGTCACTTTTACCGTTCTAGAGTTATGCCCCTTTACAAATGGAAAAATTGCTGAATTTTTTCGTTTCCATTCTTTAACTTTAGTTTGTCTCAACCAAATGTTATGAAACTTATATACAATGCTTATTACCACAAAACACTGATCAAGTTTGATTTTTGGTAGCATCACTTTTACCGTTCTAGAGTAATGCTCCTTAACAAATAGAAAAATGCAGAATTTTTTGTTTTTGTTCACTAACTTAAGTTTGCCTCAACCAAATGTTCTGAAACTTATACACAATGCTTATTACCACAAAACTCAGATCAAGTACACACATGGGTAGTGCCACTTTTACTGTTCTTGAGTTATGTCCCTTTATAACGTTATATGCAAGCGAGGGCATCATCTGTTTCCCATGGACACATTCCCCATTATTTTTTTCTGTATCACATATTAAATTAAAATTTCACATATGATGAGCATTCCTCAAATTTGCATTTTTGGTAATTATTTGAAATCCAGGAAGGTTGAATAGGTGCTAAGGGATGTAAATATACATCTAAGAATATCAATGCAGCAGCTTGAAAATTTAAAACCTTGAAAGCATCCAGTCTTCTATTATTTTACTCTCTGTTTATTTTCAGTATATGTTTGATTTTTCTTGTCTTTCACGAAGACAAAGAATTATTCAGAGAAACAGAACAGAAAGATTAAGTGAACTGCTGGACTGGAGAAACTTAGGAGTTGTAAGTACTTCCAACTATAGTACGTATTAGTATTATTTTCCAGTCTGTAATTCATTTTTAAGCAAAGTTTGTTTCTGTGTCCTTATATGCCCCTATAGGAAAACCCCTAAGACCTGTTATAATTGTTATAAATGATTTTAATTCATTTGTAAATCTTTTTGTTTATTGGTAAATTACCTTTATCATTTTAATTATGATAAAATAGAAAATGGAAACGGGGAATGTGCCAAAGAGACAATAACCCGACCAAAGAGCAGAAAATAGCCCAAGGCCACCAATGGATCTTCAACACAGCGAGAAAATCCGGCACCCGGAGTCAGGCTTCAGCTGGCCCCTAAACAATAATGTATGATGATTCAATGGCATACTGAATGATCTTATATTCATGTCAGCTTTGAATACAGACTATCTAACACTTTCTGGAAATGCAATATATAATGTATAGTGGTATGTGTCACTTCTCATCAAAGCACATAGAATTCATTTGAAAGGGTGAGGAATTGTTGGCTAAAATTCAGAGTGGAGCATCATATCATCCTGTATATTGGTACCTCCTTTGCTAGCATGTTATATATAGGACGTGGCATATCAGTCTAGGTCATGGTATAGTATGAAATAGAACATTGATATGTCAATCTTATTGAATACTCTGGCCGTCGCTTAGAGTGCTGAAAGTAGCGTTAAACACCAACAATCAATCAATCATATTGAATATTGTATGTAATATTTACAGCTTTACCTAAAACAGTCATCTATCAATCAAATGAAAATAAAAAAATAGATTGCTATTTAAAAGTATGAGTTTGTATCTATTTTTAGTACTACAGAAAGGCCAGGAATTTAGCATTAGTACGGTGTTTCCCTGATGCTTTTGTAGAGGATGAAAACTCGGTAAGTATTGTTTCAGATACATTGATGATTATTCAAATCATATTTAACCTCAATTGTAATACAGCTACTTTTTTTCCAAAATATTATTTAAATTGCAATTTTCTAAATGAATTACAAATCACTAACCTGATTTTATATTTCTCTGAATGCTTGTATTTTAGGTGAACGTTTGTTGCCATTTTGGAAAGACTCAGCTTTAAAAGTTTATTTGATAGTTGAATACCTTTTTTTTTAAATAATAAAAAAAAAACATATTGTAACCCTCATTATCCAAATGAAGACAGATAAGTGACACTGTATTGAACAACTGTTGTATATTATTGTGTGTTTCAGGGTAAGAAGTTTGTATATCCCAGACCAGCATCAGCTTTTACCTCCCCAGCCGGATCCAGATCAGCAACTCCTGCCCCATCAGAATCTGGAAGTCAGGATGGCGAGGAGGAGGAAGATGAAGAAGATGTGGAATACAGACTGAATGATAAAGAAGATACACAATAAAGCCATTTGATCGGTCAAAGATGTGATTTGAAAGAAGCTTTGGAAAAGAATGAATCTGATTCCTAGAATATGGAACACTGTGTTAGGAATAGAGAAATGATTTATTACAGAATCAAATAAATATAATTATCTGGTGTTTTTGTGTGCGATATTGTAGATGTGAACTAACATGTTACAGTCAGGTCAAAAATTAGGCAGTAATGGATTTAGTTCACAATGTTTTAATGCTATGCTGGTGCTGATATATAGTTTTATATTGTTTTGGGCTATTTTAGAACAAAAGTGCTGTGCAGTTTAGGTTTTTTGTTTGTGCAGGTACACAGTTATACAACTATGCTAACTGTGATTCTCCAGAAGGAATCTTTTTTCATAGAATGATTCTCAAATATTTTTTGCTAAGTATTTGTGTTTCTTATTTCAAAATTACAATCCACTTTTATTAAAGTTTTGAATGTTTATTTCCACAATATTTTGAGTTGTTATTGAATTATAATAGCAGTTTTGTGTAAAAATTACTTTTATCATTATGATATCATTAATAAATGTCTGAGATCCTGGTATTTGATAGAGGTTCATGTAATGTAATGTAACAAAAGTATTAACAATGGTTGTGGTGTACATTATCATATGTATCTGTTTATTAACCAGAAATGATATATCTAAATTATTACAAGTTCTTTGTGATGACCAAGGAATGAAGTGAGTCATGCTTATACTAATTTACAACATGAAGTCAGAAAAAATAATCAAAAGCATGATGCAAACGGTACATGCTGTTGAAATCCTGAGCAATGCTAGTGAAATATTCATATAATATTTACATATTGTGGCTTAATTGTGATATGGGTCTATTTGTGAATATAATGCAATTAAAATAAATATGTAACCTTATATTATGATTTTATATAAATTTGTTTTTTTTTATACTTGAATGCTGAATTTATCTAACAGTACCGTTGTTATTGAATGAAATAATTGAACTGTAATACTAGTCCTAATATTTTATTTCCAGGTTTTGTATACTTCAAAATTTGAAGTTCTCTTGTTTTAATAACAGTGTTTTATGATGTTTTACAAAGTATAGATTATTCTCATAGTTAGTTATATTTTGGGCAACAATGATCTATTGATATCCGTCTTGGATCAGCACCTCTCTGTTGCTGTCTGATAGCATCTCCGTATATTGTTGAATCCTTTCTTTGTCTGCATACAAGCCTATAGAACATTTATACACTGTTGAACATTTATATTTGTGTGGTTCCTATACCCATAAAGTCTGTGATAATTGGTACCCCATGATGATGTATCCACAGTATTACATGTGATTCACTGCAAAACTTAAAAGTAAGACTAGTAGCTATGACATTTTTATGCCCCACCTACGATAGTAGAGGGGCATTATGTATTTCGGTCTGTGCGTCCGTTTGTCCGTCTGTCCTGCCTCAGGTAAAAGTCTTTGGTCAAGGTAGTCTTTGATGAAGTTGAAGTCCAATCAACTTGAAACTTAGTACAAATGTTCCCTATGCTATGATCTTTCTAATTTTAATGCAAAATTAGAGTTTTGGCCTCAATTTCACAGTCCACTTAACATAGAAATTGATAGTGGGAGTGGGGCAATTTACTATGGACACATTCTTGTTTTAATGTAATAAGATTTTTCTGTAATGTGCCATTAGATTTTGTGTTGCTTTGTAAAATAGACAATCATGAAACATGTTTTGATTGAGTATAAATGATTACTACATATATATGCTTGATAAATTAATGAATAATTAGTTTGAACTAAAAAGAAATTGATTTTTAACTGAAACTATTTGTTGTATTATGAAATTTTCTTGTAAAGACTGAATTCTATCTTAATTCAAAAAACAAAAATAAACTGTTTAAAATATATATCAGATGTTGGAAGTTAAAATTTGTAAGATGGAACTTAAACAAATTTAAGGTAATGTTTATCTGATTCAAGCTGTTGATCTTGAGCTATATTGATTTTAATCTTTAGTCATATATATATAACTCTACATTAAATTAAGATTTAATTGACTAATTGCAAGAAAACTGGTATTAATGTATGATTTTTGGTTGTAAACATTTTAGTATATTTTACAGCATTACAATGTAACCATTAACATTTCATCTAGCCATCTTTAGTATTTTCAATCTTTGTTGTTTTCTATAATATTTTGTAGCTGAACCTATCCACCAGCTTGTGAATTAGAGTGCAAGGAGACCTTATTATACTGAATTGTATATTGCATTGAGTCATTGATCAAAGTTATCCGAAAGAATAATCAGATGATGGGCATAAATAAAATCCTCGATGCTATTTAGCAAAAGTTCAGAGATAGCTAGTTTCAATATTTATTTTATTTTTCAAAAACAGTTTGATTAGAACCACTTTTCAGAGGTTGCAATTTTCTTGCCATGTCTATCATCTCGAAAGAGTATTGTGAAATAGCTTTTGAAACTTTTGAAAAATTTACTTGTGCTATCATTTCTATCAGAAAATATAAGAGATAAATTTATTTAATATTTGCATAATATCCCCAAATTTATTTTTTGTTTGCATAATATCCCTATTCAAAGTTTGAGTGATTCCGGTTACAAAAGGTTGGTGTTTATAACCTCTATCTCATCAGCTCTACACCATAAATATCTGTTTGATACTTTTCTGAGCCATGCTCAACTCACCACCACACCAAAAAAAGATATCCGGCTGATTATCTTTATCTTCTGTGACTTATTACTTTTACAGTTAGATATCTAGTTGATACATAAGTTGATACTTTCTCTTGCTTATCATCAATACAACAAGATAGCTAGTCCATTTCTATGTATGACTTCTTCAGCTTATAGCCACCCAAACACTGGTTTTGGTTTTGAATATGGATGAAATATTTGCAAAGACACAGTGAGCAACAACAGTCTAAGCCTTCTCACACACTATAACCACTGGAGGATAGACAGCTGACTTCAGATTCTCTATAAATTTTAAGAAAGTGACAATAATCCTATCAACCAATAAAACTTTCATAATTACCTGTAAATAAAAGTGGTGAAAATAAATTACTTTTTGTTTTCAATAAAAACTTTATAATGTCTTAACTTTAGTGTACATTATGTATTACTTTTTTCCCTAGCTCTATCTTATGTTGAGAGGACTTATTAATTAATGTTTGAAGTAGTCCTGAGATTTATTGTAAATTCAGAATTTAATATGTGAATTAGATAGTGATTTGAATATTGAACATCTGACATTTATATGAGATATATTGATGCAAGTGTTGTCGTACAATATAAATTTAAATTATTTGTGTCAGAATTTTTTGTCACGAAGAGAAACTTTGTATTAGTTTCATAATTTGCCAATTTTAATATCAGTCATTTGTCAGTCACCTGAGTTCATTGCTTTTGCATATTCTGTTTTAGTGTGTTAAGTTTGCAGTTATCTTAAATACAATTACCTCACATTTAGCTTGAACACTTTTCAATTGATGATATTTTAATACAACATGTATCATAAAACTGTTGAGTTTTCTTCATTGTGGTTTATTTGATACTATTTAACTCACAGTATCCTTTAGAACTTACTACAAACAGAATTTATAACATTAAAAAGACATTTTTTATGTTAAAATAAATGTATTAAAATGTCTTATCAGATTTAAAACAGTAGAGTTCAGTTCTAAGCAAAAATAATTGCTGAATTTTCAATACCGGTAAATGAATAAAGATTTTGTGTAAAAGACCAGTTGATGCCCAGTGTACATAAATAGTATTTGCTTTGATCATGTTACAAGCTAGGTATGATATTGATAAAATTTTGACTGTGAAAAAGTCACATAAAATTAAACGAAAGTTCATATCCAATTGTATAAACAGGTCTGTATTTATAGAAAGCTTTTTAGAATATGTTATCACTATGCATGTTGTTATGGTATCATCTCTGATATTACCATTCACTTTTTTAAAGCTTTTATTTTTGCTCTGTATTGCTAAAGATAAAATGGAGTGTTACCCTGTTATATTTTTGTTATGTTTTTGTTACACAATGCTGATGTATTGATTAAGTGGACTCAGGAGTTTTACCCGTATAGAGCTTTATAATATCAATAAACTCAAATTAAACATGTGTTTAGTTTTGATTGTAACTAAAACAACTTTTTGCATAAAAGAAATTTATTGATCTGGTGGAGATCATGGGTTCCATCTCTGGCTGGGTTAAACCAAAGGTTTTAAAATTGATATTTGCTCGTTCACTGCCATTTTGGAGAACGAGCAAAGAATGTTCATTTTGGGGTCTGAGTAGAGTGACATGTCTTTCTGTTGACTTTGTGAGCTAGCATGTTAAAAATACATGGCATGGCACTCTAGAAAAAAGCTGGGTACATTCATATCTCATTAACATGTAATATTCTTAAATATTCATATGCTGTTTACATCTCATTAACCTACCGTCCTGAATATGCATGAGATATTTATCTATGAACGTAAAGAAGTTAGTTTGTCACTTAAAAATTTTCAAGTTTTCATTCAGAATTATAAATAACGTTTAATAAATTTGGTGTGTCCAAATGGCAATTCTGGATTTTCCAACATCAGGAGTGTATGACAACTTGATGAGCAATATGATCAAAAGGGACCTTAAAAGAATAGCCAAAACCATATAAGGTCAACTTTGACTAAGGGAGTCAGAACTTAAGTTTCTAATAACTGAATTTATCAAAGGAAAATTTTAGAAATGTATGTTATAAATATGTCAGTGGCAAAGCATTGACTACTTGGCTGATGATATCTTGAGGGAATACAATCCTCTGGCAGAGCAAGAAAATGAAAATAACACTTTATAAATTTGGTTCCTCAGAAGCTCAGGAACACTCAAATCCAAAAGTTAGAAAGCCAGGAATATATAAATCACAAGCTTAATGACTAAAAGGGACCAAAAGAATGGAGGATTGGATTAAGACCTTGATTGAAGGATGTTTGGGCTTAACCACACCAAAGTATGGACTTGCCATTTGCATAAAGGAGTTTTTTTCAAAGATAAGTACCTTTCTGTTATTAGGAAAAACAGGACCTATTGATTGTTGGGTCAAAGATCAAGTTCACATTGCCTATAAATAGACAAAATGTTTAGGAAAATTTTCATTTCCCAACAATTTCTTTTTAGTTATAATAAAATCTTTACCAATCATTGATTGACCATGCAGCATGTGATGAAAAAGACCCAATTAATTTTGAGGTCAATGGATCAAAGTTCAAGGTCATAGCAGCAATTAAAAGACTGAAATTAGGCAATAATAATAAACCATACATCCTATCATAAAAACAATTAGTTTGACAAGCTCTATTACATGTAGTCTTAAACGTCAATTGTCATTTTGACGAGCGGAAAACGAGTCAAAAATCAAATAAGAAAAAGCTTTGATATATATTAAATCACAGATAAAAGAATAATGCTATTGCTTGATGCCTCCTCTGAACGTGATGGTTCCTACTGTATGCAATGGCTACCTAAACGACACATTTCGTTTCATTTCTCTTCTTTCGGGTTCTAGTAAGTTCATTTTAACTAGTTGCCTAATTACAATTAAAGAACAGTTGCTTATCAAATTATGTAAAAAAGAAATAAAAATAATGGTATTAACTCTTTCTGGAGCCAAAAACTCTTTGAACGTTCTATTTAAATTACGGCACTTCTATTAGACTTTCGACTCTTTACCGTGACTACACTTCTACGCAATCTTGTCAGAGGATTTTTTTATCTTATCAAACGGTTTGTCGAAAAATTGTATTGCAAATATAACTGCTGCTACTCATATAAAGCTTTCTTTTATAATGAAAAAGAAAAATATGATCGATAGTTACTGGAACTGTGATGAGATGACCAAAGCTGTTAGTTTTCTCCTTGTCGATATCTATGCACGTTTCGGCAATAAAGATTTTAACAGGCTATAGGTATTCTTATCATCTAAAGATTATCAAATTTTTTCAGTATTGACTTTTGATGATATTGGTACTAACAATATTCTTACTCTCAACAGACTTTGAAAATATAGGAATTTTCGACGTGATGTCACAAATCTGGTGACTTTCGACTGGTTGGCAAGAGTGTTGTTTATATCTGTTACGTCGACCATGACATGATTACAGACGATTTACGATAGTTGTCTTATGTCGTCTAATTAACTGTTATATGAGATTCGATAATAACAACAACAGAGCTTATACCGTGTTACAATTGTTAACACTTATGGTACTACATGTACATGCTGTCGATACTTAGTTACATATTGGCATGCACGAGGTCCGCACACTTTTGTCTTACAGCTTGTGACGTCTTTACAATAAATCTTAACTGGAGGAGTATAGTTACTGATTGATATTTTAGTCTGGAAAAACATAGTCTATTTAATAAAGAAATTGGTATTACAATTCGCTTCTAACAACTGCGAGTACTCTGCTTAAATATCGATATTTGTAGGGGTTTTTTGTGCTTAGCACCGATCTAACAAGTCAAGACTTTTCTACAGTTTGTTCTAAATTAACATATTGTTCTGTATCACCCCTGTCAAAGGTTAGTGTGAGTCAGTACTAGCCAGAAGTCCGTTGTGTAGTTGTTGTTGGTGGTTACCGTGTGTCATGATGTTTATTTTCTTCATTTTTAAAGGCAGTGCTTTAATGCCTTTCTAGTTGCCGGGTTAATCCTTCCTTCCGCGATATCCAACTTATCTACGTGGGGGGTCATTAGACTCCAAGTAGATCCGGAAATGTTGAATTCTCTCCTCTTCTTATTGCGATATAAAATGTTTTTTGTTTCATTTCATTTACATTGGGAAATAGAGAAACGATCATTGTGTTTTGTTAGTTTTAAAAACTTTTGATATATTAGTATTTTGCATTATAAGCAGTCAACCGATTGACAAACTAGAATTATTTGAATTCCGTGTGGAAAGAGCTCGGGTTAATTTCGAGTGTTATCTGCAATCTAGATGTTTATAAATCATTTCAGTCGTTGATATAATAATTAAAGGTCGACTGAACATGAATTATATTATACAATTTAAAGCGCATTTCTGTTTATGCAAGTGAACCCTTCTAACGTTATTTTCGCAGTTATATAAAGTAGCAAATTATCGTTCCTGAATAGGTGGCGCCGTGGTAGCGGATCCTGTTCCTCTTCTTCCGGTTTCTGCACTGTGCAACTATTTCAGTTATATTTTTAATTAACGATGCCAAGTACTTGTTGTTGTGTACCTGGATGTCATTTAAGAGGAGGACATGCATTTCCAAATGACTTAAAAAGAAGGAAAAGTTGGATCAACGCCATGGCCCATACGCAGATTGGACGGGAACACGATGATATCGTGGAGTCCATCTCAATCAGCTGTTGTTTGCAAGGCACGTTTTACTGAAAAAGACTACGTGCAGGAAACTATTCATGGTAAAACTCTATTTTCTTTGTGAAATATATAGTTATATATGTAATCTTCATGCGAATAAACCAAAGTCTGTTTACAACCGCAATTATCGTTTTAGAATAAAAGGGGGTGGGTAATTCAAGACGTCATAATTTTTTGGATTACGATTCAATGTGATCTGTTTGAGATTTTTTGGTGATTGCTACAATTATAATGATTTCTTACAAGAAGTATATCATACTGAGAATTATTTTAGCAGTAATTATGCTAATGTAGTAATGACAGGAATGCATAAGCTATGCCTCATAGACTTTCTTGAAAAACATCAATGACAATATTAACAGGAACAAAACAATGACATGCTCTCATCTATATTATAGTTATTTAGGTACAAACAATGTACGTTTGTTGCATAAGTCTCTCATTGTTTGTCCTTTGGATTTACATAACATACATTGAATCAGGCAAACATAGTTTTATCCAGATTGTAATGAATAAATCTAGTTAATATTTCGCCAGGTAGTACAAAATATACATTGCTAATGGAAGTTCATTTAATTATAAAAAATCTAAAGTTTTATAACCTTTTTCAGGGTGCAAACCCACCATACAGAGACTTAAGTCTACTGCAATTCCCAGCCTATTTTCCTGGACCAAGCAAGAGACTGAATCGTCCGCAAAAAGAAAAATCAGGGCAGTTTCCTGTGAAAACAAAAGAACTAAACTTGATGAATATTGTAGTAGAAATCTAGAGGAAAGTTTTGATTGTAAAGTTGGTTTTCCTGAAGAAGTCATTCATACTGCAGAAAGGATTTATGACTGTCCACCACCAACTGCTGAGCTAATGTTGAGCTTCACAGATGGAATTACGCAAACACCATCAATGCCTATGTTTTCAGCAGAGAATTTTGAAATGAAGACACGTGACACAGCCATGCATTTTTATACCGGTTTAGAGTTGTATAGTAAATTTTTATTTGTTTTGACCACACTTGGTCCAGCAGCACATTGTTTGAGATACATATATTTTCAAATTGATAGGGTGTCAGTTGAAAATCAGTTTTTTTATGACTTTGATGAAATTGAGGCATCATACAACCAACTTTGAACTGTCTAGATTCTAGATTGAATCTACATGTAGTGTTAAGAATATTGTGTATACATGGATTGTTTTTATGTCTAAACAGTGGTGTGAGGCTAACACTTGGCCATCTAGTGGTTTAGTCAGGTATTTTTCACCATCCAACTTCAAATTAAAGTTTCCTACGACTTGGATTATTATTGACAGCATAGAATATCCCGTGATAAAACCTAAAGCTCCTAGAGCTCAGGCAACCTTTTCATCAAATAAAAACAGAAACACTGAAAATTCTTGAATGTTCGACACCTGGTGGTTTAGTCAACTATGTCTCTATGTCACATAGAGCGAATTATTGGACTTGGCAAAACATACAAAATTCTAATAAATCCTATGAATGGAACTGAAACAAAACTTTCATCTGAAATAACATTTAGTTGTTTTATGTTGTGTAATTTTAGAACTTGTATTGTGCCAAAGGATGCATAAATAAAAGTGACGCAATGAATTTTGTTCTGATATATATATATTTACAATTACATGCACATGTAATTTGTAATGCATATAAAAATAAGGAGATGTGGTATGATATTCAGTGAGTTTATCAAACTAAAGTGCATAAGAAAGGGGTTTAAGCAGTTACAGGTGTTACTGTCACCGTACAATCTCCAACAATGAGAAAAACTCGTACCCTGTAAAAAATTTCAGAGATCTTACAACTAAGTTTTGTTGTCTCACCTTGACTTTGGTGAATTTTTTATATCTGTTGATGTAAATATAAAAAAGAAGATGTGGTATGATTGCCAATGAGACAACTCTCCACACATGCACAAGAGACCAAATGACACAGAAATTAACAGCTATAGGTCACAGTACGGCCTTCAACAATGAGCAAAGCCCATACCGCACAGTCAGCTATAAAAGGCCCAGAAATGACAATGTAAAACAATTCAAACAAGAAAACTAACGGCCTATTTTATGTAAAAAAATGAACAAATATAACAAATATGCAACACATAAACAAACGACAACCACTGAATTACACTTTTATAGGCTCCTGACTTGGGACAGGCACATACATGTACATACAGAATGTGGCGGGCTTAAACATGTTAGCCGGATCCCAACCCTCCCCCTAACCTGGGACAGTGGTGTAACAGTACAATATAAGAAAGAACTATAAAAATCAGTTGAAAGAGGCTAAACTCATCAGATGGATAAATACAAATACAAGTGGACGTGGTCGGGTAGTTGTACATCCAAACAACAAAAAGACACTAAGTACAAATCTGAGAGTACTCACAGTTACTGACAGCTAGTTCAAAGCCACTAACAACTGATAAAAAAATCTTGCATCTAAGACTAAATTATCAATCCGTAAGCTCCCTTTAGAATTTTATAAATTTTAGATTTTACATTTCTGAGTTATGGGGTTTTATTCATTAAAAAAGGGGGGGATTTTCCAGTTTTTGGACAACAACTCAAAAATGCTTTAAGCAGTTCACATGAAACTTTGTTGAATTATTTATAGCTATTGATGTAATCTCCCTATTGATTTTCATAAATTTCAAATATGACATTGAGAAGAAATTGAACTTTATTTGTTTATAGTCTGGCAACAGATTTATTAAGTATTGCACAACAGCACAGTGTATTGCACAACAGCAAGAAATCTTTAATTGAATATAAATTCAATTCATATAACCGATTTCAAGTTCATTGACTACATTTATTCAGAAACTATAATATGTCAAATATTTAATTACAATCCAAATTCAGACCTGTATCAAGCTTGAATATTGTGTTCATTTTTGCCCCAGCTGTTCAGGGTAGTACCTCTGCGGGTGTATCCAGCTGCGCTCAGCGAATCAGTTTATTTCTTAATTAAGAACTCCTTTTTATATGACTGCAAACAAATTTTGTGGTCGTATATTGGTATGACGTTGGCGTCGTCGTCGTCCGGCGTCGTCATCCGAAGACACGTTAGTTTTCGCACTCTAACTTTAGTTTAAGTGAATGGATCTCAATGAAATTTTAAAATAAGGTTCAATACCACAAAAGGAAAGTGGGGATTGATTTTGGGGGTTATGGTACCAACAGTTAAGGAATTAGGGGCCAAAAATAAGCATTTTTGTAACTTCCAGACATAACTTGTGTGTAAGTGTATGGATCTCACAAGGTTCCATAACACAAAGGGAATGCTGGGATTGATTTTTGGGGGTAATTGCCTCCAAATTTTAGGAATTAGGGGCCAAAAAGGGGCAAAAAACAAGCATTTTTCTAGTTTCATGACAATAAAGAGTGTGCAAGTCTATGGATCTCTCTGACATTGTATCACAAGGTTCCATATCACAAAGGGAATGCTGGGATTGAATTTGGGGGTAATTGCCTCCAAATTTTAGGAATTAGGGGCCAAAAAGGGGCAAAAAACAAGCATTTTTCTAGTTTCATGGCAATAACTTGTGTGTAAGTGTATGGATCTTTATGAAATTGTACTACAAGGTTCCATTTCACAAAGGGAAAGCTGGAATTGAGTTTGGGGGTAATTGCCCAAAAAGTTTAGGAATAAGGGGCCAAAAATAAGCATTTTTCTAGTTTCCAGACAATAACTTGTGTTCAAGTGTATGGATCTCTCTGAAATTGTACTGCAAGGTACCATACCACAAAGGGAATGCTGGGATTGATTTTGGGGGTAATTGCCTCCAAATTTTAGGAATTAGGGGCAAAAAACAAGCATTTTTCTAGTTTCATGACAATAACTTGTGTGTAAGTGTATGGATCTCTCTGACATTGTATCACATGGTTCCATATCACAAAGGGAATGCTGGGACTGATTTTGGGGGTAATTGCCTCCAAATTTTAGGAATTAGGGGCCAAAAAGGGGCAAAAAACAAGCATTTTTCTAGTTTCATGGCAATAACTTGTGTGTAAGTGTATGGATCTTTATGAAATTGTACTACAAGGTTCCATATCACAAAGGGAAAGCTGGGTTTGAGTTTGGGGGTAATTGCCCTAAACGTTTAGGAATTTGGGACCAAAAAGGGGCCAAAAAACAAGCATTTTTCTAGTTTCCAGACAATAACATGTGTTCAAGTGTATGGATCTCTCTGAAATTGTACTGCAAGGTACCATACCACAAAGGGAAGGCTGGGATTGAGTTTTGGGGTGATGAATCATAAGGGGGTTCAAAAAATTTGGGGGGGGGATTCTTTTTCCTTTTTTTTCTTTAAAATTTTCCATTTTAAATTGGTTATTTCTGATTTATATATAAAAGCAAATAATAATGATATGGTTTGAATAGGTAAATTAAATTTTTTTAAGTATCTTAGACCACTTTCATTCTGTGTCAGAAACCTATGCTGTGTCAAATATTTAATTACAATCCAAATTCAGTGCTGAATCAAGCTTGAATGTTGTGTTCATACTTGCCCCAACTGTTCAGGGTTCGACCTCTGCGGTCGTATCAAGCTGCGCCCCAGCGGAGCATTTTATTTCATTCATAAATTACTTTATGCTTGGAAATATAATTTTGCTTGGAGTTGAAAGAGTTGACATGTTGCAATGTACATTTACTCTACATAGTTCTATGGTACCAAATCAAAAGTTTATATAAAGAAAGAAGTCAAAGGTTTCCCATCATAGTTTAGTTACATACATTTTTTTTGTACCTGAGGTCGTTGAATATAGATCATTATATAAATAAGGAGATGTGTTATGATTGCCAATGAAAAAACTAAGGATTTTCTTATCCAAGGAATAGATTTCCTAAGCCGTATTTGGCACAACTTTTTGGAATTTTGGGTCCTCAATGCTCTTCAACTTTGTACTTGTTTGGCTTTGTTACTATTTTGATCTGAACGTCACTGATGAGTCTTATGTAGACGAAACACACGTCTGGCGTATTAAATTATAATCCTGGTACCTTTGATAACTAATTTGACTATAAACATAGATAAAAAAAAGGTACAAACTGGACATAATGCACTAGTTCATAAACAAGTGAGAACAATCGCCTTCATATAGTGCTCAGAATATGACATTCATAAAACTTATTCAATATCATTAGAGAACTCTAAATCTTAAATACTGAAAGCCACCTCTGATAAGTACACTGTACTATGCAAGATAATGATATAACTGGACTTAAAATACACACAACCTGTAATTAACTGCCTTTACAGCGCTTTCGTGCTTTGATTTTAATGTTATTACTAGTACCGTAAATGAGGCTGTTAGTTTTCGTTGTTGTATTGTTTCACATTTTCTTTTATTTGGCCGTTATATCTGACTATATGGTTTTACTCATTGTTTAATATTGTTTACCCCTTGGACGCTGGTGTTATGACAGATAGTTATCTAATAAACAATCACACTACGTCTCCTTTTTTTGTAATACAGAATCAGAGAATGCCACATTGTATTAACAACACAATTCTAGCGGCGGGTGAGTTCATCCCGATTACTAAAAATAAAAAAATGAGTGATGAACAGATATTTTTATATCTTCTTTTGTTGTTTACTTTTAACATAAAAATTTAACCCAACTTTTTTTTAAACCGTAGATCTATTCTGAGTTCAACCGAACTACATATTATTAATCACAGTTAATACTCAATTTATTTAGGTAAATAGAACCTTTAGTTTAGGAGGGGATTTACAGTGGTATGAAGACTTTCATGGAAATTCTTAATAAAAGTTCTCAAAAGGACAATAGTTTCTGTTTACATTGGATTCTGTAAGCGTGAGCTTTGTCAGCTTCTTAACAGTTAGGGTCGATTGTTTTGTTTATAGTTGTATGTATGGACAAAACATCGAACTAATACAGCAAAATATTAGATAATAACTGTATTGTAATATTATATTTTTAAGACTACTATAGAAGTCTAAGCAATAATATACTTAAATTTTAAGTTGTGTAAACAGTTGTAAGCAACCAAAAGAACACATAGATAAACTAAACCCATGACATGTATAAAACAAACAGGTAAACAAATTGCAAAGCGTTGGCAAAGAAATGATTACAGAATAGTCAATAAATACAACAGCCATAATAACACGATAGCCGAAACCTTTTGTGATTATAGTACAAATTCAATTACTGCAGACGATTTCTTTTTGCCAAACTTCGCTCATGTAGAGACACACGTGACCTTTATGGCAAATGGTGAAATCCTTTTGAATTAAGTATGGGACTGTGCAATTAACGTAAAAAAAAAGCTGGATAAAACTGAATACCTAAGATCCACCTGGTTCATTACATTTGAATTAAAATGTATAAATTAAAAGAATTTAGTTTCTTTATAATACGCTGATGGTATGTAAATAAACAAGATTTCTGAAATGAAACAATTTGAAAATCATGCCCGGCGAAAATTATTGGTCAACGGATCTTGACCGAGAAAATTGGAACTTCTGATTAAATATATGTGTTTACATTGGAGACAATCGTAAGATAAGTCGATGGTTAACTATGTTAGCCGCTAATGTGATGTGTCCATCTTTCCAATCTTACTCTTGACGATACTTACTTGAACTCTTCTTTATTTTGGACATTTATCGGCGATAAGAGTACATGTACTTTAATTGGAGTGTCTTCTGGATATACATTTGATACTGAACAATGCCAGGTTAGATTATATTATTCAGCTACACTTCATAATTTATCAAATTATAATAAGTAACATGGTAGTTTTTTTCTTTTCTTTTCTTTTGTTTGGTGAATGTAGACTTATTAACCTATATACTCACTGCATCATTGGTTCCGCTGTATTGCGTTTGAATTAAACTTCGTCGTCATTTGATGTCGTTAATACGCCATTGTTTTTACTTTACCAGAGATAAAGACTTTACTTCATGTAAATGCAAAACCAAATACATAGTTACGTTATAGCAAGGCATAATAGAAACGCACATCATAAGAATATAAAAATTGGATTTGTTAATATTGTACTTCAGTTGTATTGATACGGTTGCACATGTACTGACAATCATCAAGAGTGTTTTATTTACACCGTTTCAGCATATATATTCTTTTAATTTAATTATACATTATTGAGGTAGATAGATTTTTATTTTATTATTGTATTGTGCATATTGGTTGTACATTATACAAGTCATTTTCAAAAAATGTCGAATTTTGATATTGCAAAATGGAATAAAAGTTGCTAATTTAAACCATCCTCTTCATAAGCAAATCATAAAACAATACTTATGGAACAACATATAAAAAGATGCAATCTTGATAATGTCATACAAGACTTTATGGAAACATTTTTTGATAGGTGGTGCAATATTTTGTCTCCTCTGTTACCATGTTCAAAAGATATTTTGAGCTATCAAGTTAGAAAAGTTTTTGATAAAGTTTTAAGCTTGTTTTTTCATGGTCAAGTTTCAAGAGTAAAAACTTCTATATATTTTCATTCTGTGTAATGATAGATTATTTGTCAATTTTCTATGTTGTACTGAAAAAATACCTCTAAAAATTGGTTTTCAAAGGTTATAAAACTAACCACCAGTAACGTAAATATAAGATAGCAATTCATAATGTTCAGCATTTTTTCCCTCTTTTTAATAAACCCAACATCAAGTAATTTCCTCGCATGTTGGATAATTTTTGTCGTTTTGTTTTTGGTAACAGGAACGTACGTTAACGATATATCACCATATTAAGTCTACCCTGTATTGCGGCGTTCACACAGTGCCGATTATGGCTCCCGTTTGAGATCAGACAGCGCTAAGACACGAAAAGTGAAAAAGTCGGATTACTATCATCAATGATCTGGAATGTCCTATCATTGTCTGAACGCAGTCGTATACGTTCGTAACAGATTCCTACGGATCGGAAATGGTCCGGAGAGGTCGGCCAAGCACCCCCGACAGTTAGGTGCGTCCCGTAACATTCGGGGAAACTCAGCCGATTTTGTCTAGTCGGATTACAATCGTGACTATGTCGTGACAGATTCTGCTGTATCGGATCAAAATCGTAACAATGTTCTGTGTTTTCTGGACGGTGTCCTGTGGAACGGGCATGATCTGGAGAAATTTGTCATTGCTGTTTTTTGCCGATTGAGTCCAGATTGCATCCATATCTTGCCGAATACGAACCGTCTTTGTTCCGGAATAGTCCCGTTATAAATACGAAATTCGGTATTAATACCCACGTCGGAGTCCCGACAATTACAAAACACGATACGACGGAGTCCCGACGAAGCCGTTTGCAATGCGGTACATCAGACTGTGCTAGGATTACGTTCCGGTAGTACCTGATCATCACGAATATGGCGATTTTTTTTATAGGACGGGACTATCACATGAAACGGTTTTCTAACAGATATCTTCCGTCAGCGTCGTTTTACTGTCTGCTCACTGTCTGATCTCTGTCGGATCGCATTCGGCAGAATCGGGACGCTGTCGGGACATATTTGGTCGTTTTGTACCTTGCAAAAGGTACAAATCGAATGAGAATCGGATTGAGAACGGGATAATCGGGACAAATTATGCTGGAAACGGCTGAATTTGGACGCTTCCTGAACAATATCTGATTTTTGTCGTGATTAAATAAATGTTTTTACAAATTTTAATTAAAGTTTGAATTTCAACCCGTGATTCACCGGATCTTGATCAGACTTTTGACAAATTTTAATCGGGAATGGTCCTTTCAAGGACGGCAGTAAAAATCGTGAATGTGTGACCCCAGCTTTACCATTTTTGTCTATCCTGTTACCGATAACAGTATTGTATTTTGTTTATGCTAAATTGCGAAGATTAAGACGTTGTAACCTTTAAATGATTTCAAACAACCAAACACTCATTATGTGTAAAATTTTATGTATAATTATTTACTTTTTAAAGACGTTTTAGTTAAATATGGTCTATCCTGTTACTGTAACCATAGTAACAGGATAGACATAATATAATAGACAAATTTCTTCATTTATATGAATGCTGTTGTGAAATAACTACTCCCTCTGATGCAGTGATATATAATATTATTCTGTTGTGATTTTGGTTTCCAACATGTAATCGCACTTTTTACAAGTATAATATTGTTGTAATTAACAAATTTGTAGGTAACAGCATAAACATAATAAAAAAGTACCCACTAAGTTTTTTCACTAAATGTCTTAGGTTTTCTTTTCTCTGCACTGTTATGCAAGAAACGTGATGTGTTAAATTTTTAGGGTGCTTCGTACTTTTTAAATCATCGCTGAATAGTTAGAACTATATTCATAGGAAGAAACAATTTAACGGTTGATATAGTGTCGGTAACAGGTTGGACATGAACTTCATGTACGCCGATTGAATTTAGTTTGTAGAATAAATGTTACATAGAATAATAAAAAAGATGTGATTTTTCGTTAGAGTTATCACTAACATTCTAAAATAATTCCCTTTGCAGATATCAAGGCAATCAGAAATGGGAAAAAAATCATCTGAAATGTGTTATCCTGACACTGTACGCATATAAATTACGCAACAATCGGACTTATGTTTTAATTTCTTATCAAAATAAATGTAAAATCGTGTTTATTATTGATTTTCCAACTCATAAATCCTGCCAACTTTCATTTAAACACTTACAACTGTCTTTTCCATGAAAAATAAAAATTTTAACATATGTGTACCGAAAATTCGACATTTTTTGAAAATGACCAATACAATAACAAAGGAAAAATATACATTAAAACAATCAATACCAAGCCATTGAGTTGGATTATGAGACATTACAAAATAATTCAAATTTATATGAACATTACCTTGTTTTAAATTTGAATTTGAACAATTCAAAACAATTATCATTTACATAATTACACATTCAATTATTAATTCAAAATTATAAATTTGTAGGTAAAAATTAATACTTTTACTATTATCTATTTCATTAATTTATTACATGACATTAAAAGTAGTAACATTTAATGATTAATTAAAACTATAAAAAAAAATAGTGTCTCTAACTAAAAATAACTTTCGTCTCATTCTTGAGATTAACATTACAATTTACTGCATTAAGGAGTAGAAATGCCTAAGATGGCCCCAGATTTACAAAACAAGAAAAATATAAACCGAGCAGATTTTTCTCCATAAAATATTTATGACTATGAGTCAATGATTTAAAAAAAATGTTTTTATCTAACAAAAGAAAAAGGTTTAAATGACGTCACAATGGTCGGTGCAAATGACGTCATAATCCGGAAAATAAGCAAAAATACAGAAATTGGGATGGTTTTTCGACATTTTGACCACCGCACCACGCTTGCACCAATTTAAAATGTTAACATTTTGACAAGTTCATACAAATCAAACTTCAGATGAAAAATCTTTTTGGTGCAAGGTTGCTGCGATAGTTTATTTAATATTTTTTCATAGCCAAGCAGAGTAATAAAAAGCTGAATTTGCCTGTAAATATGAGACCTATTCTTCTAACAAAGTTTAATTTATACATTCTTATGCCTACATGCATTTTACTTTTTCGCTTATGAATCAGTAACATGTATTTCTTTTATTATTTTCGTAGGTATACTCAGTTTAACTTTTAACTCTAAATCGAAAAGCAATGAACTAAATATTGTAAGGGAGTCAACGATAACTTTGACGAAAAGTTTTTTTGTAATATGAAATTTTAGATAGACATGCAATATAACAAAATCTGATCATTTCTTATGTTTCTGCTTATCTCAATTCAAAATTTGGTGTTCGAAACGGGACAGTCTTCCCTGGTATTAGGGTCGGATCCATGATTTATGAAAGAGGGGGGTGTAATTCCAGAAAACAAAATATAACGTTAAAAGATTTTAAAGATTTGATGCTTAAATTTACATAATTGGTTATGCACATGAGATTTATTTTGAAAATGATGCCACCCTTATTCGAATGTCATTGGTGGTAATAAGCATCGAGTACAAGCTTCATAACATTTGGTTTTGGCAAAGTAAAGTAAGAGAACGGACACCACAAAATCGCTGATTTTTTTTCACTTATAAAGGGACATTACTTCGGAACAGTGAAAGTAACGCCACCCAAATTCTAACTTGATCTGTTTTTGGTGGTGAAAGGATTGTGTACAAGTTTCATAGCATTTGGTTGTGGCAAAGTAAAGTTAGAGAACGGAAACCAATTTCGGAACGTACGGATGGACAAGGGTAAACTGTAATGAATCCGGGTCAGTTCGCCCAAAATCATGTTTGCTCCCATTAACGTTCGCTCCCTTTCACATTCTCACCCCACAAGTTCACAACCTGGGTCTGTTGCACCCTACATGTATACACCCCTTTTGTTTTGAATAATTCCTTAATCAAGCTTTAGTAAGTGTATACCTATAAAATAAAGATAATAAGTGTTTTTATTGTTTAAAATAAAGTGACATTCTTAAAATGTAAAAAGTTTTTGTATGTGAATTATTTTGACATAGTGAATAATGAATATTGCCATGATGATCAAAGGCATACGTCTCTAATACATCCCCGCCACATTCAGTTTGTGCCTGTCCCAAGTCAGGAGCCTGTAATTCAGTGGTTGTTGTTTGCTGCTGTGTAACATATTTGTTTTTCGTTTATTATTTTGTACATAAATTATGCAGTTTGATTTGTTATACATTAGTCATTTTGGGCCTTTTATATCTGACTATGCGGTATGGGCTTTGCTCATTGTTGAAGGCTGTACGGTGACCTATAGTTGTTAATTTCTGAGTCATTTGGTGTATTGTGGAGAGTTTTCTCATCGTCAATCATAACACATCTTTTTTTTATATTGTAAAAGAATGGCGGAAGATACAAAACAATATCAAAATAGTCACAATGACAACAACGAATAAAACAAATAATAAATATAAAGAATACAGCAAAATTTAAAGAATACAGATATGAAGGACTCAACATCCAGACCCTCTACCATGTTTGGCGTTGCTGTATATTATACTTGACCAAATACACACGAGAATAAGGGGTCAAGCTGTTAAAAACAATTAGCGTTCATGTTTTCTATTAAAAATCTTCATTGTTTACACCTACAAAGCAAACTACTTGTATATCACTTAACACCACTATGAATGAATGAATATTTTATTTCCAAAAGCATAAATAACATGTTATGGCAATGAATAGACAAGTATATTCAATGTAACTAAACGACAGATATCGGAGAACAATACATAATGTAATATAGATACAATTAATTCACAATACATGATCTAATTTTCCATGCATGTTTCAGATAATTACACAGTTTAATTGTAATTGATTTAGATTTTGCTTGAAGCAAATTAAAAAGTTTAAAAGTATTTGGCCAAGGACAATAGTTATAACAGCTATCATGATTTTCAAACATATTACAATAATACCAAATAAGCTTTGTAAGTACAATTTATAGTAGTCATACATGATTAACATTTAATAATTAACCATCTAATCACCCAAAAAATTATTTTATCCAAACTATTCACGAATTTTCATTCATAAACATATTAATATTTTGATATATACATCTGAAAATACAAATGTACATTTAATAATTCAACCTGGATTTGAATAAAAATAGGGTTCGAACGTATAGGGTGCGAACGAACCCAGGGGGTCTCACTGATTAGCAACTTCTAGCTATATTAGAAGAATTTTAAGGAGAAGAAGAAAAAAATAGTCAAATTAATTTCAGCTGATTATTTGTTGTTTAATAAAGTTTCCAATTTTGTATTATTTAGTAGCACTACAGTTTTGTAATGAATTTTTAGTGAAAAAAATATTACAATATTTTAAAATAAAAATTCACAGAATAATTTGTGTCATGCATATATATATATATAGCATTTAAAAATTCAAACCAAATTATAAGATAATAATTTGGTTTGAATTATGAAAATGTCAACATTGCCTACTTCACATAAGGACTGTAATGACACTTATATTTAAAAAAAACACCCTTTAATGCATGTTTCTTTCTTTATTTATTTTAGATAATTTATATTAAAATTTCTTAGCGCTAAATTAGTATTATTGTCGCTTAATTATTCTTCTTGTCGCTAATTAGTGAGACCCCATAACGGGGGCATAAAAAACTCAAAAGGACTCCACCTAGCACTAGAGACAAAATCTGTTAATATCATCAATACCCGGTATAATTAAAAGAATATATAAGGTGCACAGGTATTAATTCATGAAAAAATATAATAACCAGCAATTTCACCGTAAGGCCAATGGTATATTTTTTACTGCACAAATGGACTCTAGAAGTTCATTTCGTTACCACGTTCTCTTGAAGAACTACTGTTCTTTGTCTGTATTTTTGTTTGTTGATATTTCAGAATTGATTTTCATCCTTGACATTTTCTTCGGAGTTTGTGACTTTTTACAATGTGCAACTTGAATTATCTTTTTGTTGCAACATATTAAACGTTAAATCTTGTAAAATCGAAAGCAAATTGCCGTTGCTATGGGCAAATATTTGTTGCTACGGAGAAATTACAATGATTTTGCCAAGAAATGTGCATTCCACTGTGTTATATTTAAAAGTGTATAAGTGTAAAATTCACTATATGTTAAACAGGTTTGATTTCAAATATAAAAAGCTGTATATTTTGCATATTCAATGAGTTTATCTCCACCATTATACTGGTTGATAGGCAACATAATATACGAGATAGACCCAAAATGTCACCATTTTCAGCAGTTCTGTGGTATAGAGTTACAACACGACAAATTAAATGAAATTTGGGGATGGGGCCAAAAATGGCCCTTATCGCCCCTTGTCCTTTCCAAACTGTCTCAGATGTTTTAGTTTTCACACTGATCGTTTGTAACATTGCTTTAAGGGGACGGAAACATGGAAGTTCAGATTACAATCATCTCCTCCCTAGGGAAGTGATAGCGAAGATGATGATTTTGGAGACGACCAGAGAACAGAAACAGATAAAACAGGTCCGAAAATTGAAGATGCAGAGATCGGACTTACACACACCAAGTTAAAAAATGGACACGGACATGGATATGATTTTCGACAGTCAACAAGAAAACAAGATCCCATATGTACACCTTCAAGAGGTGCTGTCATACTAGCTCTGTCACTTTTGTTCTTTGGAGTTGGTTATATGGCTGGATTCTTTACTCCATGTTCGTTCAAACAAAAATATATACCAAAGCAACTACTGCCTTCAATTGTAATAGAGTCTAGACCCTGGCATTTAAAGCTGTCATATTGGGGTAAGATACAAACAAGATGAATAACCCGTATACATACATGGTCACATTAAGAAAATAAAGATAATCGTTTTTATAGATCAATCAATTTTCTTGTTGTTGGTATTCTATATGCAAGCCTATTATACATTTTCTGATATTATCATGAATACTCTGATAAAGAAGAACATGACATATTGATTAAAATGTGAAATGAACATTTAAAAAAAAGAACATGTGTACTACTACTTGTTCTATGAATATGATAATGTCTTGAAAAATTCTTGAACACATTAATACCTCGAACAAGATTGATGCATGTTATATTGACGATAGTGTTAAGTACCTTTCTTGAACATAGTGATTTTTTCATACAAATGTTGGTTCCTATAAAAATGAAAGACCAGCAACGAAATTATTTTGATGAGAATGCTTCTTATAGACCAGTGGCACCGTCTTTGTTTTGTGCTAGCTTTCATTGACTTAAAGAACAGCGACAGATTGTTGTTTTTTTTTTTTTTTTTTTTATTAGTTTGTTCCAGTGCCAACTGAATATTCACCGATATCACCTATTTTAGGACAATTGATGTTCTATTTTAATACTAGTATAGGAAAACAAAGCTTTTCAAAACTTATATACCAACCAATTTATTTCGTAGTTCCTTATTTCAAATTTTTAATTTTAAATGATCAGTAATTATGTTTCTTTGATACAAATCCAGTAAAAAACAGAGTAAAATTTGAAAAGATTAACATTACATTAAAGTAAGAAAATATGAATATAGTTATGATTTTTAAATGAAATAGATAATGTTGTTTTTTTCTCCAGGTTCAGAATCTTGCATCCGATTGGTTGATGTAGATGGTGATGGATAACTTGATGTCCTCACTGGGTTGGCTATTGGTAAAGATATTACTGAAATGGTTCTGGAATCTACAATGGATCAATTTTGTTCCAAACATGGTAAGACCTGTTAATTCAATTGCCAATATTTATTACTTATGTATCACTAAGTATAGTCTGATTCAGGGTAACGACTGAAATTATCCTGGAATCTACAATGCATCAGTTTGGTCACACACATGACGAGATCTTCTTTTACTGGCAAAAGATTTTTTTCGAGTAACAAATCCTTGTACATGTGCTTGTAAGATATCACATGAAAAACCTGCCTCATCGTGTCATTTCAAAGTATTTTCGTATCACATTTACGTGGTATTGTCCTGCATGCAATATTTGCTAGTGGACGTAACGCAGCCACTTATCAATCAACCACAATTGTATATGCCCATGTTTTACTGTTAACTTGTATTTATTCATGTTTATTTTACTATTGCGTCTATCTTTTTGTACTATTTCAAGATATCGTGTACAGTCATTGCAAAGACATCGACCCAATCTGGGTCCTCCACCGAAAATATACATTTTAACGTATGTAGGTTTGCGCAAAATAAAGAATGTATGTTATTCCTGATAAATTAGTCCTTGTGTCTATGATATGATACTTACATTTGGAAAAGTAATCATTCTATTTTACAAGCATTTTAGGAATGCAAACACCATGTGCAGGGGCTGTGTTACGAGGTTATGATGGAAAATTACTGTGGCAAACAAAAACATATTCAGAGATTTTTGTAATGAACTGTCATGGCGTTGATGTCAATCAGGATGGATTAGATGACTGCATTGTTTCTGGACGACTGACAGATCTTAGAGCAATTGACCCTAAAACAGGACTTAAGTACTTTTTGGAAACACAACTCAACTGTGTTATGATATAGACGAAAACAGACAGAAGCCTTCCCAATTTTCGTCACATTGCCAATTATGTCTGTTTGGGTTGCTCACCCAAATTTGTCAATAGAACGAATTATAAACAATTGTCATATAAGTGGAAGGTTTAGCTGGATATAAAACCAGGTTTAACCCACCATTTTCTTCGGAAAATGCCTGTACCATGTGAGGAATATGACATTTGTTTTCCATTCTTTCCGTTGGTTGATATAGTTTAAAGTTTGATTTAGTCAGTTTTTATGGAGTTTTTAATATACCTTGGAGTTCGGTATTTTTGTTAATACCTTTTTTTTAAACCAAAATGATAGTGAATAGATCGGCAGTAGTAAGTTTATATTCTAACAAGTATGGCATTCTTTATAAATACGCACTGAACAAAGAGCTATTTTAAGCGGATTTAATACAGCTTTATTAGCATTGTAGTTATACCGTTACTTAGTTAGAAGTGTCATGGAAGCGTGTAGGCCTGTTGGAAATGTCAATACAAAGAGATAGGGGAGTGAACCCAACAACATAATTCAATAATTAAGCATGGAAACCTAGGGGTTTTCTTAAGTGACCATTTCATATTGCAAGCACTAGTTCAATCTGATTCTTGGCATTCAACAAATATGTTTGTATATTTTGTTTCAGGTAAAACTGTAGGTGTCTTACCCTGATAACCTGAAACTAGGTTGGAATATAGATACAACAACCCCCATACCTGATATGAACTATGATGGTATCAATGAATTTGTAATATTACACGGAGGAGATCCAATTATACCTGCTGAGGTAAGATAACAGAATCAATTCGTACAAATGTTCATAGACAGAAGAGGACGCAGCAACGTACGCAAATATTTTAGGATGCAACTCTTTGTAACATTTCTAAATATTTACTACATTTAAAAAAAACTTTTATCATTTTCATTTTGTAAACTTTCCTGCTTCACGAGTTCCGTTGTTATTTTTCATTCTTGTCATGTGAAACCTCATTTTGTGCTATTATTAAATTGAGTTACTTGTCCTCATTGTCACATCTCGAAAAACAAATTATATTGTATTTCTTTGTATATCCTTTGATTCAAGTGTGAATTTAGTGTCGGCTTTTTCCTTTAAATATCTTCTAACAAATAATGTGATTGTCATCCATATATTAGCAGATTTCAAGTTTGAACAACTTAAATTCCATAAGAAGCACAAAAGCACTAGGTAGTACAGTGAAACATTTTATTTTCGCTTTTCAGGAAATCTTCACAAATATTCAAAATCTCGCTTGTCTATCAAAACGTTTCACAAAGGAAAATACAAAACACTTTCCATTTCTAACCTATAACATATTTTGCTGCCATATCCAACTAAACTTATGTTGAGTCACATATTATATTGGCTCAAAGGGAATCTTGAGGACCTGCTGAATATATATTTTGCTACGTCAGTGGGGATAGCGCTTTATAAAACTTTGAAATATCTCAACAATTGTCTCCTATTTTGGAACATAAATATCTGCTGATATAAATTTAAAAACATACTCTATAAATACTACTAAAACTGCATTCTTCAGATTTGGCTAAAACAAAATTATGGTCTACTCCATAAGTCCTGTTATTCACAAAAACGTTGTATTATAGACTCATAAACGCCATTCTGAACGACTGATAATGATAAACGGAGCAACAGGACAAATAATGGGTCGTTATTTAGACATGCCAGAGGATAAGGAAATGTGTATATCACCGGTTGTACACCAGCGCAAGGGTGGTTCAATGTACATTTTGTATGGCAGGGGTGAGGAAACAGTTGGAGGTATGAATAAATGGACATACCATTATTTTCATTTATGCACCTTCGTAGTATTCATACACTTAAAAACTTTACATAAAAGTATTTTTTTCCCCCTTCTCCTGTGTTTGACAAACGAAATCATAACATTTATTTAAATGAAAATCCTGCATGCTAAAACTGTTTCATAATTTTCTACAAAACAAATGGATAACGGGCCATTTTTATTAGAGTTATAAGATGCAACAGTAGTTTACCTTTATTTAAATCTCGTAGATCTATTATGAACATACAAACAAAAGGGAAAAGCCTGAACTAATCGCATGAATTCTAAATGGAGGGAGGAGATGGGGTGCATCGACTGTTTTGTATGCATCACCCGCCATGTGAATCTAGACTAGTCAAACAAATGATGATAAGGATTAAGACGCAATCGGTTATTTTCATTAATGCATATCATACGAGTATTCTGATGTTTCGAGAACAAAAATTGCGAAAATATACATTTCTTGTGAGTTGAGTTACAAATAATATAATCGACGAACCAATTCGTGATGGTACAAAATTGTCGATTTCAGTCGTTCTTACTCCTAATAAAACTTGAGGAGTTTTTGCGTTAAGAGCACATCTGTTCATAAAGTCCGTATAATGAGAACATACACGCGCGTAACGTATCAATCGAGATATGTAAACGTAATATTTTATGGAGTGGAGGATATGGTACTATTAAGTAGAGGGAAGTTAGCAAAAGCAAAATCGAAATCATCATTTTTGTTATAAAACAGGTTCTGTCCATGATATAGAAAAATATTAGGCAGTAAGATCAAAGGGAAAATGTACAAATTGCCGATAAATAATTTTATGTTACGTTTAACGTTTAAATATTTGATAATACTTTCTTGGCTGATGTGTGAAACGGTCCTCTACTCCTTTTAGCTTTAGTAATGCCTTAGATATTCTATACTGTATTATTCATTTATTGCAACACCAAAGTTTTTTTCTATTTAGGTTTATTCCTTGCTATATCTGTGCCAGACTTCTACAGATATGTAAACAATCTAGACCATAGTCACAAAGCACCAACCGTGGGAGGACAGTATACACGGTGGGGATATAGGAAACCTAATTTTAAAGGCGAAATCGAACTGTACAGGTAAATTATACGAACAAATAATAGGTAGAACTGTACAGGTTAATTATATGAACTGTTTGACTTTTGATCGTTTTTCATTTTTTGCCATGGCATTGTCAGTTTGTTTTAAACTTATGAGTTTGAATATCCCTTTGGTATCTTTCGTATCTCGTTTGGTGATCATTAAGGTTAAATAAAAAAAATTCTATATATATTTCAGATCAGAAGAAAATGATGTCATGGTTCCTCCAGTTCTTGTAGATATAAATAAAGATGGAGTAAAGGATATTCTTATGTCGGCATTTGACGGAACAATGATTCTTTTTGACGGAGAGACATTGGATGTTTTATGAAAGATCAAATTTGAGGGCAAAGAATCTTACAGGTACACATCGTCTGACTAACATCCATAGGTTAACATAGGGAGATCGAAATTTATGATAAACCTTTAAAATCATAAATGATGCTGACAATTTCAAACTGGATGACTTTATTCTTGTACTGCTCATCTAAAATGTGTGTGTACATGTTGAAAGTATTTAGTCTTCAGTTGTTTCAAGGTATTCACTGTTTAAGATTATTCTCTCTAATCAAGAGACATTGTAGCACCGATTTTTTTTTGCTACATTACAATAATTGAAAATTCAGCTGACACAGCTATCGTCTTCACATGTATTTTCTATCTGCATTATTTAAGGGGGTTTCCATACTAAAACATAACCATGTCCGCTTTTATCAGTTTGTTAATCCACATTTATTTGAAAACAGCTTGGCAGAATCCGAGACATATCAGTTGATCATCATCAACGGTATTCCTAACTAACTGTTCATTGCTATTGGAACCAATTGTGCTTCTTTAATGGCAAGTTTTCCTTCATTTCTATGAGATAGACTTCATATATGCGTTTCTACAGAAGACTGAAAAGAAGCTAGCATTATCCTTCAACTTCATTATATCCTCTCACTGAATAATTCAATATTTGGTGAATACTTTGCTCGCATCTATCCCATTTAGCTTGAAATAAAAGCTACAGTAAAGTCTGCTTCATATATTAACTTACATCTAGTAATTGACAATAAGGAATGGTTGAGAACTAACATTCACGCAAAAAGAGAAAATATCGATTTCCTAATTGTGAACTTTCTATTTCTGTATTTCTGTAAAGCAACATTCCAGCAACGCCTGCAAATGGAATATCTATCTCCTAATTATTAAAACGACATGCTAGTGCATTTCCTTGATAGACGATTGCTGCTTACTATGAAGCTATTGAACCACGAAAGTTTAATAGAAAACATCATTATTTGGTTGATTTGTTATTAAATATAAGTGTCTCAGATGACCACGGAACTATTCAACTTGTAACTCTAATCTCGTTTTTCATCCTCGACTGTGATATCACTGTATGCAATTCATTACCGAATGTTTACTTGCCATGATCAACATGATGGTTGACTCACCAGTGAAACCTTAACTAGTGACCCTTCCGCAGCACCTAAGTTTACTCCCAACTTTTGGTGAGATTAGTGTTGCTCAATTTTAGTTTCTATGTAGTGTTTTGTGGATATTTGTTTGTCCTTTTGTCGTTTTCTTTTGACCATGGTGTTGTATGTATTCTTTGAATTATGGTTTTTGATTGCTCCCCGAGTATTTTCTCCATTTAACTATATGTGTTCATAGATTATATCGTTTTTCATTTATTTTAGTTCCACTGCTCCAGGATATTTAAACGATGATGATACACTAGATTTTATGTTACACTGGAGTGGAGGAGCCTGGCTTGTCTACAATAGCACTGATGTAAGACTAATTCGGAAATCTTTTATAGAATTTTATTTTAATTTCGTGCAATTTTGATTGTTTCCGCACCCATATTTCAATGTTTATACAAGGATGCTTATTCCTGTTGAGATCGGTATAATATCTCTATTTAGTAGAAGGTTATTATAAATGGGGTAAATATAATCTCCTATAGGAGGTCAAATGCGTTCGATCACTTATAAGAAGTAAAAACATACAGAAGTGGTCGATTTCTACAACAAAATGCTATGTTTATAGATAGCAGCATCAGAAAACATTTTAAAGAACTGTTTAATGTACAATAAGTTTATATACAAATATTTTTATATCATATGTTAAGTTAATTTCATCAATCGGAATTTTTTTTATCGAAATCACAAAAAGTGTGATGCATCAATGCTATTTTGAATATAATGAAATATTTATTGACATCAAAATCATGCTCTATTTTTTAGACTACTTGTTTCTATAATTCAAAACAATATAGTGTCATGTAATATAATTAAGGTCATGTTGTTTTATGGAACGAAATGTTTCCTTTTTCGCCCTCGAGCATCAGCGAAGAGATATTTATTGCCGGAATACGATCTGTTGTAGTAAAATTTGGTATGAGTAATGTTATTTTCACCATTTTTATTTTTACAACATAATTTTCATAAACAGCTGGTGTTGTATTTTTAGAAATATCTTTATTGAGTCCTTTTTCGATGATTTTTAAGATTGCTGACTACATGTTAAGAAGTAAGCATACGTTTTATGCATATTTGCCGATATCCGAAACCATTATACAAAAAATATACTTAAACTTACAGTATCCTAAGAGAAACTGGATCAATATTGGTCAATTTAAAAACATTTTGTTACCATTTTCAAAGGTGATTGTCATTGATGGAAATGATGGTGTCGTATTATGGAATACTACCAGTCACACATATGGTGTGTCATCAGATCTTGGGCTAGAATTAGTAGTTATCACAAGGATGTATTTCTTTTCCGAATGCAAGGTCGTAAAGGTGATGGCGCATTACACCAAGCAGCAATTCACGGAGCCACAGGAGCTCAAAGAGTTGTAAGTAAATACATGCAAATAGGTTTGAAGTTCCATGTAAACAAAACAATAAAAAATCATCAAGTAAATATATATTGGTCAAACTCAAGAAATCAAAGTTCAACAGAACTAAAACGTAAAAACACCAGAGCATATCGACCGACTTTTTTTATTGTCATGCGCTAGACTAAGAACAGGGACTTTTAAGGGCAGTGGTGGATTAATATATCAAGATCAGTATAATGGTGCATTGATGTCCCATTTACTAGTACGTAATCCAAAAAAAAAAATCTTACCAGACTTTGATGATAACTGAGTGGTTTGCCATGGACAGGACAGTAATGAAGGCGCCGATTAAGTTGTGGGGAAAAGGATCAGAAAAACATTATTATAGTAAGCTTATTATTAATTCTCAGGGGGAATTGCTTTTCCGAATTTGAAGACGTTGTACGTGAATTTTTAATTTGGGAAATCAGGGACGACAAAATAATAGAATATGATCTACTTTTCGTTTAGCATTTCAATTTTGTGATTTTTATACCATCTAAATATTCAGACGTAAACAATACCAATTAAAAAAATATTCAGCTGAAAAGTTTGTTTATCCTAATGACCACAATACTGACAGCAGATCGAGACCGCTAAAAATTAATGAGAGAAGCAATATGAAAAGGGTGCCTTGGAAAGACAAATGGGTGTTTGACAGATGAACCATCACGTGGTGTCAATACACTAAATGTACTTGAAGATCTTAAGTAATGATTTCTTTCAAAATTGACAGACGAGGATCGTAAGTCAGTACAAAAAGTTGTAAAAACGTTTGGGGATAACCATACACTGACAGAGTTGGAAGTTCCATGGACAAGAGGAAAACGTCAGGCTCCTGGTGCAATGTGTATCATGGTACAACCAGATGAATGGACAACGGGTATGGCATGATTTTATTTTTTAAATCATTATTGTACTACTATTAGCTCCGTTGCACCCAACGATGTCAAATCTGAAAAAGAACTTTTAACGACGTTAAATAATGTAAGATTAAAAAAAACCCTGTTTTCGATTATTAAAGTAAATATGAGGTCAATTTAGATTACCAATTTTTTAGCATAAAAGTAAAATTACTCGAAAGCATTAATACACTAAGAATAAAGGAAGTTATCAGGTTTACGTCAATGAGACAGCTACCTAATGAATATCATTAAGCATACAAATGTGCTCACTGACTGATATTTCACGTTATGTAGACAAACGTGATAAAAAGTAAAACAACAAAAATACTGAACTCCAAGGAAAATTCAAAACGGAAAGTCTCTTAACAACTGGCAAAATCAAAACTCCAACATATCAAACGAATGGAAAACAACTGTCATATTCCTGACTTGGTACAGGCATTTTCTAATGTAGAAAATGGTGGATTAAACCTGGTTTTAAAGCTAGCTAAACCTATGTATGCCATATAGCCCTCAAGGATTTATACATCTCCGGCCTTCCAACTTTTTGTTTTGAGCGTTCCTGGGGAAGGAAAATCTAGAAAAGCGCTTCTAGACGCACGTTTGAAAGGGTTACTTTAATTTTACACTTGCGATACATCAGTTTGCAATTTCTCCGCTATTATTTTTTTCATACTGCTATAACCCGCATAACCTAAGATGGACAGAACATCGGAAGTTAAGTCATTTTAATTCCGAAATAGATAAAAATAGAAATTTATCATTTTAATATTGGGCCATCTCTTTCTGCATATATAAAATATTTTCCGATAGTTGTTAAATGCAAAAAAAAAAAAGAAAAAAAAAAAGGTTCAAAGGAATTATGCCCAGCATTATTTACGTGATCTCTTGAAGGTTATTTTCTTCTAGTTCTTTATAAAATACATTTTGAAAACAATTGTATAGACACAAATCTAGTGTTGCAGACCGTATGTTGAGGTCTGTTTTTTTTTTATTTTGTTAGGTGCTGTGTCGTTGCCGTATACCACACATCTTCTTTGACTCGTATATATTAAAATTTAGAAAGGATCTGACTATACATTGTGTACTGTAATATTATTTTGATGCTGAAATGAAATTTATTTACAAAAATGTTTAAATGAACACATAATTATTTAAACAAATATGCTCTGTGAATTATATAACCTAAATGCAACTTAATATAGTTCTCTAGAACTATAACTACGAAACACTTAGATTCCAAAATTCAACACTTATATTTCCAGGAGCTATCGGAGATGTGGACGGCGATGGAAAGTTAGATGTAATTGTGAATCTGATTTCTGTTAGAATATTGCGTGACGATTATGCTCAGTTTGTCAAAATGATATTTGATGTAGACATTTATAAATTCAGCTTAGAGGATATCATAGACAATGAAATGTACACAACCACTTAATGTGACAATCCATGAGAGAATGAGGAATTCTTTCATGAGAATAAAATAACTAACCTCAAATTCCTGCCGCCAGAGAAACAAATTTGGGGTGGCTATATGGGTACCCTTGGTAATAGTGTATATGAACCATAAAGTTTGAATTGTTTTATCAGCCAAACAGTAAATATATTGTATGATTATCTTGTGATTATAATTACACAAATTGGGAACAAAATGATTTTTGTCACTTGGTTTTGACATCATATTACTATTAAGTCTAATACGAGATTCGATAAAATAAGGTAAAGTTTTATAATCGGAATCTTCTTTTGTTATGCTGGCTAAAATGTGATATCTAAAAATACGGAGATGTAGTCAGATGGACAATGAGACAACTATCGACAAAAGACTAAATGACGTAGATGTTAGCCATCATAGGACACCATACGGCCTTCAACAATCACAAAAACCCATACCGCAAAGAAATCTATAAAAGGGTCCCGACATGGCAAAATGTAAAAAATTCAAACTAGAATATACACCGGTATGTGGCCTCCTGTTCTTTTCCGTTTTTCTTTTTTTCTTATTATGTGAACGTTTCATGGTGTTCCGGGAATTGGAACCCCCCTTTTCAAAATGGCTGGATCCGTGCCTGGGAGTAATTTGATAAACATAACTTAAATAGAATTTTTGTTTTAGACACTTGAATTTATCAGTGTTAACCTTTGTTAGAATCACAAGGTATTGTATTGTAGTGATTATTGTATACGACCGGGAGTTTGTTGTTTAAGGTCGAGCAAATATAATACGTGTACGAAAAGCCAATTATCCAAATATAACTGAACAAAACCAATAACTTTAAAAGCTGCGGATAGTATAGCTTATATACTGAAGATGATATTATCAAAATGTTGGACTTTTTGATCGACAATATATTTGTTGAGTTTGGAGGATTTATATTTCAACAGACAGTCGGTATTCCAATGGGTACTAATTGTGCACCCCTACTGGCCGATTTAATTTTGTACTCGTATGAAGCAGAATTCATTCAGAACCTTCTAAAAGACAAAAAGAAAAAGCACCTTGCAAAATTCTTTAATTTTACTTTCCGATATATTGATGATGTCCTATCATTAAATAACCCATAATTCAGCCAATACTTACATCTCATATATTCCAGTGAACGTGAAATTAGGGTACTACTGATACTAGAAAGACTGCTTCATACCTTGATCTTTTCCTCAATATTGACACAGATGGACGACTTCACACGAAAATCTATGATAAACGGGACAATTTCAACTTCCCAATTATCAATTTCTCATTTCTCAGCATTAACATACCCTCTGCCACTTCGTATGGTGTTTACATATCTCAGTTGATACGTTATGCTCGTGCATGTTCACACTATACGGACTTCATATACAGGAGTGTGCTCCTAACGCAGAAACTGCTCCAACAAAGTTATGAGGAGGACAGATTAAAAATGACACTCCGTAAATTTTATGGACACCATCACGAATTGGTCGATCCATACGATGTGTCTTTGTCCAAAACTAACTATGGACATTTTTACCACGTGTTAGATTGTGGTTTGACATTACGTCGTTTGATCGTTTAATTACCGAACGTGACTTATTCCCGATTGTGACTGTTTTGCTGAGTGTGAATTCGCATTGCTATAAGACGTGTCACGGTACCTTTCTATCCAAAATTCATGTATTTAGTTTTGATGTTATATTTGTTATTCTCATCGGATTTTGTCAAATGTCTTATCGTTTGTAGTTGTAAATCTTATTTTTTTCTGTTGTATTCGTGTGTTATGGTAAAGATTATTAATCACCCTGTTCGTTAATTAGATTTGAGTTTGGGTCAACTAAATTTATACGATATATTTGGTTTACAGTTTTATTTAGAAGAAACACCGACATAGCTAGATAATACTATTAATTATCTTATTATTATCCACATTTTATATTAACTAGTATTGTAATTTTCATTGTTATTGATAAATGTTATATGAGTATTATAAACCAAATCTTGAATTCTATCCTAATTCTATCCCATTTTGGGGAAATTTAGAAATTCAAATGTGACGTCACCTTTGTTTTAGCGTTGATCTCTTTGGCTAACTCGGCTGTGAATTATTATGTGCTGGTTTATGTTGTTTTATGCATCCGTTTTTATTCTGTAGTTAGTCACCACTTTGGTGTTATCATGCATATCTATTATATAGTCATTTTTATAAATTTACTGTTTACAAAAGTCTGAATTATTCTAAATACTAAGGATTTTCTTATCCTAGACATATAACCTTAGCCGTATTTGGCACAACCTTTGGGAACTTTTGGTCCTCAATGCTCTTCAACCACGAACTTGTTTCGGCTTTCGTACTCTTTTGATCTGAGCGTCACTTGTTAGTCTTGTGTGGACGAAACGCGCGTCTTGCGTACTGTAAATTCAGAAATTATTGCGAGGTTTTTATTAATGCGAATATTGCGAATGGTTGAGTATCGCAGTAATAAGAACTCGCATTTTGATATCTGATACATATATCTGTATGAAGATTTTCCGAAAATCGCAATCATTAATCTCGCATTTTTGTCCATTTTTTAAAAATCGCAATAATAAATGCACGCAATAATTTCTGAATTTACAGTATTTAATTTTAAACCTGGTACCTTTTGGTAGCTATTATTTGTATGTTTCTCTGTCCTATATGTTCTCCCATTTATTTGTATTGTAGTCCTGTCATGTCATGTTGTCATTTTAATGTTATATTTAACATTGCTATAAAAGCGGGAGGTTTGGCTAGCCACAAATCCAGGTTCAACCCACCATTTTTTTCTTAAAATGTCCTGTACTAAGTCAGGAAAATGGCCATTGTTATATTATAGTTCGTTTCTGTGTGTGTTACATTTTAATGTTGTGTTTCTGTTGTGTCGTAGTTCTCCTCTTATATTTGATGTGTTTCCCTCAGTTTTAGTTTGTAACCCGGATTTGTTTTTTTTCTCAATCGATTTATGAATTTCGAACAGCGGTAAACTACTGTTGCCTTTATTTATATATTATGTCCCAATTCAGACGAACTAAAAATCTTGACAAAAGTAATATAGTACATTTAATAGATATTAGTCTCTTAAATAAGTATACAAGTATACAAATTAGATTACTTATACTGCTATTAAAACACACACAAAACCGGTCAAATAAAGCAGAACATAATCATTCATTGACAATATTTGAATCAGATTATTTGTATTTGTATATTGTTTCCTACAATCAGATCGGGTGCCGATTATTTTTTCACAGTAAGCCACATTCAATTTGCCAACCATCCTATCAGCTTGTTTTATTCCAAATTATCCACTTCTTTTCCAGGTTAATTCCCCCTTTTAGACATTAATATACTGATATATTGTTTTCATAATCTCACGACTTGATCTAAATTATACTGATAAATGGAATTTTTTTTTTCACTATAAAATTTACACTTCTACACTGACAGCAGCAATCGCAGGTGACCACCGAGTTCCGAGGAACCCTTTGTGAAATTTTGTTTTGAAAACTAGAAAATGTAAAGTAGAAACATATCATTATAAGGACACAATCATTCACATTGTGTTTGTTAGAAAAGGCGTTTTAAATAAGTTAATTTGTTTCAAAAGGAGAAAGAAAGTTTCTTATTAGTTAAAAAACAATAATAAAACAACAATGATTGTTTAAATGTTGTTTTTTTTTCTGTTTCAGTATCTCATGCATTGAATAAATAAATGGGTTTTGTTATTAATGTTGAACAAATGGTTTGTCCCGAGAATGTCAGCTATACTGTTAGTAGTCGTTTGTAAATTTATGTTTATCATTGTCATTTTACTTAGTTTCTTCTGTTACCTATTCTAATGTCGGACTCGAACTTCTTTTAAACTGAGTTATACTGTGCGTTTTGCTGTGTGTTTATTTTTTTCACACTGGCTAGATGTATAAGGGGAGGGTTGAGATATCACAAAGCATATTTAACCCCGCCACATTTTTGTGCCTGCCCCAAGTCGGGAACCCCTAGCCTTTGTTAGTATTGGGTGTTATTTCAATTTTGGTTCATTTGTATGTTTCGGAGTTAAGTGTGGCTTCCATTTCTCTGAACTGGTGTACATGATTGTTTAGAGGCCAACTGAAGCATGGCAACGGGTGCGGGATTTTCTCGCTGTATTGAAGACCCATAGGTGACCTTTGGTTGTTTTCTGCTCTTTGGTCGGGTTGTTGTCTCTTTGACACATTCCCTTTTTCTATTTTGTATTCTATAGTACAGAAAAGAAAGTTTGTTTTTTTTTGGTAGAAAATAACTTTATCTAACGCAGTTGCTAACATCTACATCATTTGGCCTCTGGTTGATAATTGTCTCATTGGCAATCATACCACATCTTATTTCTATATAAATATTTTGCAATGAAATTTATGGAATATAAAGACAATAAGACAGCAACCGTTCATCAATACATGTAGGTTAAAAAAAAAGCATTCAGACGAGTGTTCATCAGATTAGAGTCAAAGCCGTATGATAAGGTCTTCATTGCTCGGAATCGAAACTGATAGCAGAATAGTTACAAAACGTAAAAATAGCTTTGACGAACACCACGTTTTCATAAAATATGGCGAGATAGTGACAACCTCCTGTGACATTCCTGATTTGGGACAGCAACAAAACGTGACATACATGTATATACATGTAAAGAGTTTAACTGTCATCAACGGTATTTGAAATCTAAGCAAAATGGATGAGACACAAGTAAATCATACTTATAAAATCTTCTCCCTAAAACAATATCATTATATATACCGGTATTATAATAATATTATAGTGAGCATGCATTTAAAACTATGTAACAGTTTATTGGATATTATACAAACTATAAATAGAAAGAAGAAAAGAAAAATAAGAAGCAAAGATTGAAAAATCATATTATTCTGTGATGATGACTTAAGTTTTGATGATGCTGTCGACGACGATGATGGATTGTACCAGTATCAATAACACTTTGTGAGGGTACAAGAAATTTGTTTGACCTTTTGATAAAATTATGAACAGGGTTAAAAGTTTTGTTCATTCGAAAGTTAAAAGTCTAAGAATGTTTACAGTTTAGTATCAAAAACAAAGTTTTGCACCATTTTCGGATTTCGGCAATTAATGTCTCTTCAGTGAAGATCGAGACCTAAATATATGAAAA